GAAACTCCGGGGCCGTCTACACGAGAAAAATAAGCCCGGTCTTTCCCTGGTTTGCGATACGCCCGCCCTACCCTAGGTTTGCGATAAGCCCGCCTTGATCTGTCACCTAGTCGTTTTAGAGTGCGCGTTTACGTGTTGTGGCGGGCTAGTTCAGCTCGCCCCGAGCTGAACTAGCCCTGCCGTTGACCCCCGAGCTTATCCAACCCCAAGGGCTTATTTTGTTATGTTAACGGTCAAGAAAATAAGCCCTAGGCTTATAAGCGAGCTTTCCGAGTTTTCCGTTTTTGTCTTGTGAACCCGAGAGGATTCCGCCATCGACATTGTGTCGCTTTTTGTTTCTCTTCTTGGCAATTTTTCTTCTGATTTTTCGACCAGTGAACTTTGTCGTACATGCTGCTGCATTTGTTTTAATACATTGTACATGCTGTGGCGTTTGTGTCACCACATTGTACATGCTGCTGCACCGTCTTCTGTGCGCCGTATACGCACTTTTGGTACTTGTCGCCATGGTATTGCACTCAGGGCATGCTTTGCGCGACACGTGTCACGCGTTCTGAAAAAGGACGACGTCAACAACATATTCCACTGTGGCTGGAGGAGACCAAGGAGGGCTTGACTACAACAGTGGGACTGGCATGTTGTATGATGGTATCCTCAAATGCAGTGCTAGTGCAGCAGCAGTAGTAGTAGTGGTCGTATGATTGCTTGTGTGCCCGTATCATAGTGGTGTGCATCTGTCATACACGTCATCGTTACCGTTGCAGGTGAAGACGTCGGTCGCTCAGGAACAATTCAGACGCGCCCACAGGAACTCCTCAACGAATGCCGGCAAAGCGAGAGGAGAGAAGAAATGGGAAAAGCTGCTAGCAGACAACAACTACCCACAGCATGCCACTAGCACAGCCAAACACAACGCCAGCAACCCACGCAGACCACGTCGACAGCACGCACCCACAGTCATCCTCAAGGTGCCATTCGTGAATAACCGTTTGGCTCGTGATGTTCGCCGTACCGTACGTTCGTTCAGTAAAGACGTACGTGTAGTATTCCAGTCTGGTCGTTCGCTAAAGGATATGTTGGTGTCGTCATCGTTGTCTCGCCTCGAGTGCCCAAGAGAAATGTACCAGAAGAAGAAAAAACAACGAGGAAGGCCTGTTGAGTGTGATGCCTGTGATGCCGGTACACATGTTGGTAAATGCGTGTCCCAGGTTGTCATTTACTCAATGGTGTGCTCAGTGTGTGCCGAAGAGTATGCTGGTGAGGCGGAAAGAACTGTTCGCAAGCGTTTTGAAGAGCATTGTAGAGAGGCAAGGGCACAGGCAGTGGAAACACCATGGGGAGAGCATTACGCACATCACCACCCACATCACACCGATGTTGCAGCACCCGCCACCAACGCTTCAATTCTCGCCACCCAGTGATCCCTTATGTGACAGTTCGCTCCCCTCTCCCGTGCCATCTCTCACTGCATCACCCTCACACCATCTCCCACTGCAGCCTTCTCATGTTCTATCCTTCATTACCCTCTGTATTGCTTTGAATCGCTCTCTTCTCCTAAAATCAAGTCCTGACCGGTTACACTGGTAGCAAAGAGGATGGTTACGTTTCTACTACTGATAGTTGTCCTGTTAGTCGTTTTTCCGCTGTACGGCGTCTGCGTCTACCTCCTTGTTTGGACTCGACGCGAGGCGCGTGTCATGGCCGGTCAAGAACCAGCGTATGCAGTTCGGGCAATGGGCCCTTCTTCTACGACCGCTCTGTCAGGTCTGGGACAAGATGATAGGTCATGTCCAAACTCCCAGCAAAGCAGAGTACGCACGCCGTTCGTGTTCACTGGTGACGCCACAACTTTCCGCGAATGGGTGTTTTTGGTGGAAATTGCAATGAAGTCACAAGGCGTGCAGAATCCCGGTGATGTGGTCGACTTCGCTACGACACACCTTTCTGGGAACGCATGTTCATGGTTCTTGAATGCTCAAGATGCAGGAGAAGTGTTTCCTGACTGGCCATCTTTCAAGTCCAAGCTGGCTGAGGTGTTTGGCCCCCTGCAAGAGCAGGAGCAAGCTCGACTTTGGCTGATGAGCATCACTCAGGAATCGTCGCTGGAGGAATTCACCAACAATTTGCCCAGCTTAATCTGCTGCTCCCGAACGTAGACGAACATACGAAGGCACTTCTGTTTGTCCGTGGCCTCAAGGACGAGGTTTGACATTCTGCGTTGGCACAACACCCCTGTAACCTGCCGGCGGCCATCCGGGCCGCAAGGGCGAGCACTCTAACTACAGGGGAGCGGCGCGGGCCTGCCTTTGCGCCTGCTCGCCGACAGAGAACAACGGACACCCTGTACGGCAGAAATGGTGTTCGGCCGCGTAGGCTTACCCTGAAGACAGAATGCGGCTAATGGAGGAGAACCGGTGCTTCGCCTGCCGCCAGACCGGACACAGGTCAAGGGAATGCACCCAAACCCCAAATGGCGGCCGTCAGTAGGGAGGACAGCGAACCTACTGACGGAGAAGCAAGTGCCTCTACCTACCGCCAACCGGTTCACATCGCTGCAGGTGGAGGAACTGCCCGACCTGGAGTACGGCCCAGTGTCAGGAGAGCCAGAAGATCAGGAGGCAAGGGATTCCTACACCCCGGCATGTCACGTCATAATCAAGTCAAGTCAAGTGTCCGAGATTACGAACCTGACCAGCAATAAATACCATGACCTTCTTCGCATCGAAGGGTTGATCAACGGCCACCAGGCGACCTTCCTGATAGACTCGGGATCGACGCACGACATCCTGTCTGAACAGTTTGCCCGCAACCACAACATCAAGCAAGTTCAGACATCGGATACCCTTCATGTTACATTGGCTGATGGTTCGATGTCGGAACGTCCGCTCTACAAGACAAGTGATCTGAAGATCACATTCGACTCCCACGGAGAAAGACAAAGCTTCACGATATTCCCGCTACACCGCTACGACGCAATTCTGGGCAAACCATGGCTAACTCGCTACAACCCGTGCATAGATTTTCGCACTAACGAGATCAAGCTTTCCTCATCGTCATCACCGATCACAGCAGCGGGGAGTGTACCTCTGGATCAACACTCTCCCACCCTGGTCGAGAGCATGTTCCTCTCGGGCGGATGGGCAAGCCGTGAGCTCAGGCGAGGTGGCAAAGGCATCCTGGCGTGGGTGTCCCCTATCGACGGAATATACGCAAGCCCAACCGTTGACGTCAAGGGTGAATGGTGGCACGAACTCGACGAGCTGCTGGGCCGCTACAAGGAGCTGCTCCCAGACCAGCTACCCCAGCACCTTCCACCGAGACGTGATGTGGACCATGATATCTAAGTACAACCAGGTGCTACTCCGCCATCACGACCTCCGTACCGGTTGCCCAAACCAGAGCTAGATGAACTCCAGAGGCAGCTCACCACACTGTTGGAGAGAGGCTTTATCGAACCTAGCAAGTCCCCGTTTGGTGCACCTGTATTCTTCGTAAAGAAATCTGATGGCTCCCTCCGAATGGTCCGCGATTGGCGTGAACTAAACAAGATCACCATCAAGAACAGCGCGTGCATGCCAAACGCAGATGACAAATTTGATGCAGTGAGAGATAGCACGGGAGAAGGGAGCGAACTGTCACACCTTGTCAATCGTCATATCCGTGAAGCTATGTTTATTCGTGATAGGCGTTCGTCTGTGAACAGGGACTGTGGCTGGAGGCTTCTGGACAAGGTGTGAAATTGTTACTTGTATCACTGTACAGTATATATATATATACACAGTGCTTGGTCTGACTGTAGGTGTTGCGTTCTCCCCTACATGTGCAAGCCTGTTTGTGTTTGTGTCAGTGCTTGGTCCGCAAGCTGGATGTAGGTGTTATCCCACACATGTACATGTAATTCAGTTGCCATGACTTGTAACTGTGGGTAGACAATGTATCCCTCTGTCTTCACATCTGTCCACTGAGATTCTATTGATTCTGGTGTATTGTTAATCTTCATTTAAATTGGAATCGCAGTGAAGAGACCGTTTTTGGAGTTGAGAATTGAAGTTTGCTTAATGTGCAAGTGGCTGCGTTGGAGTTTGCGGACAATTAGAAAACAATGTTTACATTGCCTCAATATCCAATTTCGAATCTTTGTTCGATACTTCGTTCCAAGGCTGTCGCAAGCTTACCTAGGAGTAGAACCTTGTTGACAAGTTGTCCGTCCGTGCGTAGTGCACCAGTCTCATAAGGAGTCCGCTTTGTACTGTGACGTTGTCCATTCTTGTCAGCAGTCGATATGCAGTTTCCCATGGTGATGGGGGACTGTTGAGAGGTAGGACTTGGAGTAGGGCTTTTTGCAGAGGCTGGCAGCAGGGCAGTGTGGCAGCTGGGTCAGCCTGTTGGGATGGAGAGAGACGCAAGAGAGAGAGAGAGAGAGAGAGAGAGAGAGAGAGAGAGAGAGAGAGAGAGAGAGAGAGAGAGAGAGAAAGAGAGAGAGAAGAGAGAGAGAACAGAAAGGAAGAAGAGAGCATGTGAGTGTGTGCCTGCGCATGCATGTGTATGTGTGTATGTGCCTACATACAATATAATTCTGGAGGAGAGTTTACATGGTATTGATTTGAGCATGCATTGGTAACATGCTTGCTGTTGTTTCACCAGCCAATGCCATAACGGCTGGCAGCGAGGGAAAACTATCACGCTTGTCGTTGTGCCTTCTCCTGCTCTAGAGATAACTATTACAATGTCTTCTGCTTTTTCAAACACCATTTCCATGATCTGTCATGGCTGGTCAAGATTCAGCACTGATGTACACGCGTACATAATTGCGTGGTCGTGCAGGAGAGAGTGGAGACATCGTTCACTTTTAAGTTCATACATCACACTCAGAGGCTGCAGACACTTCCCCTCTTCGATGTGCCACATGTTAATGGTGTCAGGAAGTACAGAAGGAGGATGCAGGTGATTAAAGGGGAAGTTAAGGCAAAAATTAAAATTTCACCAGTTGTAGTCTTCGGGGTGCTGAGCCGAATGGTCTTGGTCCGAGAAAGCTGAGACGCTCCCTTCCTACTTGAATCCCAATCGAACTCGCGCACTTCCACTGAAACTGGGTGACTGCGCCCTACTAGATGGGGATTTGTATGCAAAATGTCACTAAAAGCGCCATTTCGTTCTTATAAAAGCACGGATGACCGCGATTGGCCCATATGTTGTAGTCTTTTGGACGCCGAGTCGACTGGTTTTGGTCCGAAAAGGCTGCGATGCAGCGTTCCTCCTTTATTCCCAATCGAACATGGTTGAACAAGTGGTCACGTGCTCCTGGGTGCCCAAATCACCTGGTCACCATGCCAGCAGGCGACAAATTTCACACCAAGGTTCAACTCTAGTGACAGGACTGCACCCAAAAAAGGTCAAACAGGCTAGTAAGTTGTACCCTGCAGGCACGGTGACCAGCTGACTGGTGAACTCGAGTTGAACCTTGGTGTGAAAGTTGTCGCCTGCTGGCGCAGTGACCAGGTGATTTGGGCACCCAGGAGCACGTGACCACTTGTTCAACCATGTTCGATTGGGAATAAAGGAGGAACGCTGCATCGCAGCCTTTTCGGACCAAAACCAGTCGACTGAGCGTCCAAAAGACTACAACATATGGGCCAATCGCGGTCATCCGTGCTTTTATAAGAACGAAATGGCGCTTTTAGTGACATTTTGCATACAAATCCCCATCTAGTAGGGCGCAGTCACCCAGTTTCGGTGGAAGTGCGCGAGTTCGATTGGGATTCAAGTAGGAAGGGAGCGTCGCAGCTTCCTCGGACCAAGACCATTCGACTCAGCACCCAGAAGACTACAACTGGTGAAAATTTGATTTTAGGGTATACTTCCCCTTTAATGTAAAGGGATGTCTTGGTTGAAACATGACTAGCCTGCTGGGGGGGGGGGGGGAGTGTTATCAACAACTGGCTAGCTACTGTATCCACTTCAAGCTTCACGTGCTACAAAGTATTGTTTGCGCCATCCTGCTGGGGTGGAAGACAAAAGAGTGCGCCGGGGATTGCGTCTGAAACAGCTCGCATACTGACTCGGGTGTCCGCTCCATGCAGTCAAACTCTCTCATTCATAATCTCGTGATGATGGACGTACGTGATAAGCAGCGCAGATAACAGCCAAATGATGTTCGTAGATCTACGGTAGCAACTGCAGAATGGCTCAAGAGCCACCCCCGGCCATTGTACTACTACTAGCTGTTGAAACGATTCCCTGGTTGCGTGCATGCTAAGCTGGGCGCATACTCAACCGGCAGGCACTCGACGGCTCACTCAGCTCAGCAAGGAGTGTTTCAGGACTGCGCGCTGCGCTTTCTCTTCAGCTATTTTCAGACACGTCGCCGATGGGCTACGAGTGATCGACAAGCAACGCACCGAGTGCACAAAGTTTACCCGGAACGGAGAACCCTCTTGCTTCATGTTCAGAGCGGGTATCCGGTACCGCATCTATTTCTGTCATTCGCTCAAGTCGTGATGAATGAGTGGGAACACGCCGATACCTACTATCGGACCGCAAAGAAATTCTGAACTGATGCCGAAGTGCATGGACGCAGAACACGGCATTTCCACTCTACTGTTGTGGTCCCATGGTCACTACAGTACACGAGTTGGTACTGCCGGAACATAGAAGAAAGGCTCGAGCGAGTCAGGTCTGTGGCGCACAGTGCGCGAAGCGAACAACACTCAGAAACCACGGTGGGCAACCGGCCGACTATTGTAGGCGAAGTCGAACTCACTCCCCAGGAAAACCCCACTACAAACGCCTTCAGCCTATGAAAAATAAGCACCACGAACAGAACACGAGAAGGGAAACACAAGAGATAGGAATACCCTTACCTTGCTCCCCCCGCTCCTGCCACTCACGGGTTCTGACGTCCGTTCGACGCTGAGAGAGGAAGACGAGCTCGGTATACAGGGTTACCTAACAAACTACAGACACGTTCACTAACACAACACGGCACCTTCTGCGCTTGCAGCAACGAGCAATGAAGTGGCGTTGCTTGTGCTTTACACACACGCGCACTCTACTCTGCAAGCGAGTGAGCGACCGTTCAGCTAGCGTCCCAGAGGACAACTGTCCTCGGCGCTGGCTTGCGATGCAGGAGAGCTCCTTTCCGACCCGCGTGAGACTGCGGTCGAGGTGTAATAGAGCGTGAAATCCGTCCCCAGCCCTGCTGAACTTCTGAAGTCCACACAGCGCTTCAGCCACCACCGTGAAATCGGCGTTGGTGCTTCGAGCCAACAGTGAGTTTCTCTCTCTCTCCGTCTGGAGTAGCCTCGCACGTCTAACACGACGGCCTGCAACTCTCGCTGATGCGACTGTCACGTCAATGCTACAACCTTTGTTTAGCTGCGAACGACCAGCTCAGGAGGTGGCGGTTTGCACACACAACGCAGACAGACAGACACGGGACTGTTGTTCACACCCAACATGTGCCAGTGCGGTTCGGAGTCACAGGACACACTCTACACCATACATAGGGCGATATCCTCTCGACTAAACTCACGGCAGTCACGCTACTTTCTTCGCCGGCTTCGGACCGTTATTTGCTATTTCCTGGTGGTTAGATAGTCGCAACAGCAGCAATAAACTGACTGTACTCACATTTGTTCCTGCACCGAGTCTACCATACAAAACAAACCAAAGACCGTACTCGATGTTGAGCTTGGCTTTGCATTCATACAGCCTTGACAGCCTTCCAACGGCAACCGTCAGGAACATTCGAAAAGTGCGTGCAGTCATTCTACCATTTCTGGCAGTCTCATGGTGCACCCAGCGACGATGGAGGCTGGAGAATGGCCGCTACTGCACGGATCATGGTTATGCGGACACGCAGACAGGTCTGTGCTCTGCCAGTAGACAGGACAACACGACACAATGGCAGCGTGCTGCTGCCGGTTTCTCACCATCGACCTCATCCATGTCGTCGTTGACATCGTGGCTACGTCACACGGTGACTGATGGACAGTGATCGTGGCGATGGTGACATGTAACTATTTTACTTGTTGGCTGTGGAAACGTCACGTGTATTACCCAGGACAGACGACAAAGCATAATGCCGGAGACCGGAGTCGCGCGCCTGGCTAGGTAAGGCTGTAGACCGCGGTACCGAGTGCTCTGTATAATGTAGTGCAATGTGCATAATGGAGTACAGTCGTCCACGTGTGCATAATACTAATATTAAAATAATATAAGATGTATGTCCACGTGCACACTAGACTTACCGGTACGAGTATGGTCCGTTGTAGCAGAAAGCTGTGACCTGTCTGCTGCTGACGTGCTGCACAAGGGTTTGTTCTGTTTTCACGCTTGTGTTATGCACGATCACTCGATCACTCGATCAGGTTCCAGAGCTACAGAGCTACAGACTAGTAGAGGGTCTACTACATTGTAGTACTACTACTAGTAGTAGTAGAGAGTAGAGAGGAAGACAGGATAGTCAACACCAAGCCTGCACTGACTGTAAAGAGCAGGTCCGGCGACGGTTTGTAGGTCTGCTACTCTGCACAGTGTTGCAGCTTGTGCCAAGTCTGGATGTGGTTGAACGTCTAGTACTGTAGTAGATCTACAATTGTAGCTAGATTCCATGGGGGGGCGGGGGGGGGGGGGGGGGGGTATGGACTCTTGCTGCAGAGTAGTACAGTGGCTCGACAGTCCTCCTAAATGAATCCAGTCGTGTCGCTCAAGGTTGCGCCGGGCGCTCTGTAGGCTAGTGTAGCCCTGGGTGCATGTGCCATAGTTGGACGCATAAAGTACGGCTCAGCACCCGAGAGAGGCTGCGACATGAACAAGCTGCCACGGCGGTACAATCATATCCGTTTGTTGTGTGTTGTTCAGGGGGTAGCAAAAGGGTTTTCACGACTCCCTGGTTTTGTTTTCCATGATTGACGGCGCTACCCCGAGGCTGATCTAGCGCTGTCGATCCATGACAACCCCGGATTCTCAGACTGTTCCATTCTGATGAAGGATAAATTTAATTCCGACTTTTGAAGTGTGGTGCGGCTGCTCTGTAGTTTCTGATACGACAGCGAGAGTGAGAGGGTGAATGATGGTCAGAGATCGATTGGGTTGATCAAGATACCGGCTTGCAGAATCTAGATGTGATACAAAATACGGTAACACGGCGCCTAACGCTTACTAGTACAATGTACACCAAGAGCACAGTCAAAAACCTGCAGCAACGAGCCAGTTGCCTCTGTTCCCTTCTGCCTTTGTGGTATGCGCTCCATCTTTGTGGTGTTCACATTCACGCGACGTGTGCCTTTGAACCAGGGAGTTGTATTTTACTACTCCCTGCTCTGAACACTGTTGTTTTCGGCTCAGTCAGCGTGACGCGGTCTAAACGACACGTATGGTATGATGGGTTTTGTCAACAGCAGTGACAACGGAATACTGCCATTGGATATTGTTACGTGCAGCTGACATCTTGGCTCGAAATGAGGAGCCGACATTCGGAAAACCGTACACAAGAACGCCTCAGCATAGTCATAGAATTGGAAATGAAGGTATGCCTGGAATTGCAGTCCGTTCCCCCAGGTTGGGTTTGTCTACGTGTACATGTACACGGAATCAGTGTGCAGATGAAAGTCATTTCACGCTGAGTTAGGCGTGAGGGATAGGCATATGCGGATAATGCCGGCAGAAAAATTGGCAGAATTCGGTACTTTTTCTGGTAATTTTCATGCATGTTTGGTATGTGGATAAAGAAATGAAGCAGAATTCGAGGAATTGCCCGCCACAAGGTTTGTATGGTTCTGCCAATTTCACTGCTTTTAGAGCAGAATCTGCCACCTTTTCGAGCAATATCCGCACACCCCTAACGGAGACTACCTATACAATCTTTCTAAACTGTGTTTACTCAACCTGAGGACAGAACTGTTCCGTGACTTTCGTCCTTTGTGGTCTCATCAGCGCAGCACAGAGAAAAGAGGCCGAACCTCCTGAAAGCAATGAAAAAATTAAGTTTCCAAAGCCAGGTTTAAACCAGGCCCGAACTTACACCTGTAAACGTAAACTCTGTTTTGACTCATGTCAAGTCAACACAACAGACCGGGCCATGTACTCAAGTACCAGAATTTGCAGAAAGGTTTGGTTGCAGTTCTAATAGTATGTAATTAGTTAGTTGCTGAGCATGTGTGGATTTGGCATTTAAGAACCCAGCTCTATTCTATCTTATTATTTACGCCGGAACTGCTTCTGCATAGCCTCAAGTCTAAAGACTTGGCAACTTCACGCCTGCACCTGACTCTTGCGCTATGATACCCCTCAGAATTTCTCACCTTACTCCCCCTTATGTTCAGGCTGCCCGTTTTAGCGCCATCACTTGCCTGATGATCGTAGTAATACGTGAAACTCAGAGTTGCGACACAGCTTCCAATCTCTCTTGTGTAGTTTAGTTACATGTACATGTATATGCGGTCACTGCAGCCTGATCTATTCTTACACTTTATAGTTTCAGCATTCCGCACCCTGTATCTACATGTACATGTACATTCTGGAGTGGTAGGAATGTTGGTATGAACTGCAACTGCAAGCTGGCAACAGAAACCTTCCAGCAGTTGCCTCCCCCCCCCCCCTCGCGTCCACCACCGGCCTATCTAATCGGTGCAACACCCGGATAGGACTCACACCCGTGGCGTGAAGGTTCCGAAATAGCACACCATACTCTCGTTGAACACTCAAGTCAAAGCACAGTTAGCCCTTGTAAGATATTGCTCGACAAATTGGCAGATTCTGCTCGAAAAGCAGCGAAAAGCAGTGAAATTCAATGGCGGAACCATACATGTACATGATTGTGCAAACCGTATGGCAAGCACTTCCTTGACATCTTCTCCATTTCTTTATCCACATGCCAAACATGCATGAAGCATTACCAGAAAAAGTATCAAACTTTCTGCCAAACTTTCTGCCGGCACTATCCACCAAAGGCTAGACACACGTGACATGTAGTGCAGCATCACTAGGCATATGCGGATAATGCCGGCAGAAAAATTGGCAGAATTCGGTACTTTTTCTGGTAAGTTTCATGCATGTTTGGTATGTGGATAAAGAAATTTAATGGAGAAGAATTCGAGGAATTGCCCGCCATAAGGTTTGTATGGTTCTGCCAATTTCACTGCTTTTCGAGCAGAATCTGCCACCTTTTCGAGCATTATCCGCCAATGCCTAAGCATCACGAGCAAACTAAAACAAAGTCTGACCCAGTCGCCAAAATCACTCAGCCTCGAATCACGTCCCTATTAGAGTGATTGACACAATGATGGTGTATAAAAAAAAAGTGAAATCTACTAGGGGTGAGGTGCTACAAAAGTGTATTCCAGTTCAAGAGACGGTGATTTTCACATTCCGGCTGTTGTTCAGCTCTGGACAGCGTAGGCTGTCTGGGGGTGAAGTGGGTGCCCAGGCCACTTACTGGGCCGGCACGTTGTGACTTCTGCGTTGGATGCATGCACTGTACATGCATATTAAACTACGATAGAATGAGGAAAACTTCCTTCTGCCAGCGGAGAGGGCTCAACACAATGTAGTCAATAGTAACGCGGAGCAGTATTGTAGCGTTGGCACGCAAAAGGCACAACGGAGGTTTACAGATTTGTCGCAACTCAGAGTTTCTTGCTCAATGCAATCATCAGGCGACTATTACATGTTCAGTGGGACCTGGCCAATATAAAACATAGCCTAGCGACAGCTGGTTGGGATCTGATTCAGCACAGAAAATATTGCCATGATGGCCGTGTGGATGGTCGCTTAGGTGAGGGAGCTACATGTATTAGCGCAGAAAGTAAAAGATTGCTAGTGAATAGTATAGAAGATATTGGCCAAGTCCCACTGAACATGTAAGAGTCGCCTGATGATTGCATTGAGCAAGAAACTCTGAGTTGCGACAACTCTGTAAACCTCCGTTGTGCCTTTTGCGTGCATATGAAACTTCACTCTTCAGCTCCAATAACGGTCGCGTTACTATACTGCGAATCAAATCAATATTTATACTTGTAATACCGGTAATGTCACCAAATGTTCGGGCCTGACCCATTATCAGTGTGAATGGTATTATGACATGTACATGTATTACAGTCAGACCTCGCTTATCCGGTCCTCTTTTATCCGGATCCCTCGCCATCCGCAAGAAAATTGTTGGTTACCGATATACATGTACATGTAAAGCTGATGCCATGCCGCATACATACAGTATGTGTGTTCGATTATCCGGTCCCCTCGCCTATCCGGATATTTTTTGTGGAAAACGGATGTGTGCGGTTATGCGAAGTCTGACTGTACTAGAAAAATGCTACGTTATTCTTTAAAAAAAGGGGAAAGGAACTAGTCAAATGAAAGTACGTTTCCACGTAAATCTATTAGAGTGTCTAGTGGTGTCTGTTTTATCGTGGCTTGGATCGTCCTTTCTCCTTTTAAATTGTGGAAATCGACAATAGCTGGCACCAACCTTAGTCTCAATACGTACACAGCACATAGTACATTCACTGACTGCTAGCGCTTAGAGAATAACCACAATGCCCGAACAATTGGCCTAAACTCCTGCCGGAAAAGCAGTGAAATTGGCAGACCCATACAAGCTTTATGGCAGGCACATCCTTGAATTCTGCTCCATTTCATTATACACATACCAAACATGCATGAAACTTACCAGAAAAAGTACCAAATTCAGCACATTTTCTGCCGGCATTATCCGCCAAGGGCAAAGGCTAGGCTGCAAGCGGATGCCATCTACATGTACATTATTGTACAATCATCATGTAGATGTAGTAGCAGCCACTCCACAATGACGGTGTACATGTACATGTACGTAATGACTGTAGTGCTTCACGATGGGAGTACATAGTCATTGCTCCAGTCTCCTGATGTCTATGGTGATTGCTTTGAGCATGAGTACGAATTGAGACAATTAATCAATCATAGGTTTTTGTTCCAGCGGACTTTCTAAATTATTATTAAATTTTTATCTGCGCTGGATTGCAACATACAGTATGCTCTTTTCTCTTCTCTACTTAGGGAAATGAGCGTACCTGTACGTAGCAATCCAGTGCAGATACGAAACATGCACGGCCGCAATTCCCATTGATTCAGTCCGGGTATTCGGTGGCCCTCAACTGCTCAAGTGTGGGTACATAAAAATCATTGTTGTTGTTGTGTATACGGATATTACTTATTAGCGCACAGGGCACAGCGCTTCGCATCGCAGTATCCATGGGAACACCATTAATCCGCGATACGTCCTTTTCGACGTTTGGCAAACAACAACGGTACAGCCGACGAGACAGTACAGTCTGTGAGTGTGAGTGGATTGCTTGCGATGCACGGTGAATAGCAACTTTTTTTCGAGCCAATGCCAATACATGTACTCAAAAACTGAATAAGGACGAATTTGCTTTATAGTTATACTGTGCTATGATCAACGCCATAATTATACTTCAAGTACAATCATGTAGATCTACATGTAAGCTGTGTTGGTTGTTCTCACGATTCTGAACACTACTACTACTACTAGTATAGTCGCTCAGTTGTCGGCCGGACGAGCAACTGGCGCAACAAAACGGTTGCCGGACGGACGCCGAAAGTCGCACCGCACCCGTGTAGCACGGACTCAACTCCTCGTACGGCGATATCGGGACAACTGTACTGAACTTCTGAAGCGAGCGCTCTGTGATGCCGAGCTAGCACGGAAGCTTTCAGCTACCAGACAGCCACTAGCGAGCCCAGACACGAAGCAACAACATGGCTCGAAGCATACGGTTCATGACCTCAATGGACTCTGCTCTGGACACGGACTGAAGCAAACAGGCATTGAAGAAAGCGCCAGTGAGTCATGTCCACAATTGCTACAGTTCGCCTAGCCAGTCGCTTGTCGTAGTTCTCTACAGAAGAAAGAGACGCAGCTCGAGTTAGCGCACTTGCTTATGGTCCTTCTGTCGCTCAACAATCCGCTATACCAGATGATGTAGGGACACACAAAGATAAGCCCGCAATTTCCGAACCGCTAGAACGGTTTTCTGGCTAGCGTCATTGCAAAGAGCTCCAGATAGTTAGAGGAGAGGAGGCACATTAGCTCAAACATTCGATTCTCTCCTCCCAGGCTTGTCGGGACGTTAGAAATTGGGGCAGAAGGCGCTAAGAGAAGGCGCCAAGAGAAGCTGTTGGAGCAGGCGAAGAAGATGATGACAGAAAGCCGCAAAGGCGTTGCACGGAGGTTACCACTGCTCTGGCTGGCGGTGTTGGTGGTAAGTACATGTCACAGACATTGGTGACTTTGTATAATGTAAGTCTTGTGTGGTAGATTGTGTGGTAGAACATGTTGATCGGTTGACAGCATGTCACAAGGCGGAGGACGTTGTAGTCAGGAGTACTATTTTCAACACAGTGTGGGTCCTCCACCTCGCAACATGCTGTCAACTCGTGACATGACATTGTATCTCCGTGCAGTCATGTGCACATTGTCGGTACCCGCGTACAGCTTCTTGTCCCCAAGATGGCGACCTCTTCCAGTGCTTATTCGTTCACGGTGGAAAGCCCAAAGACAAAGGTAGCACGAGCAGCAGTCCTGGGGCCACAGGAAGACCAAGCCTTCTTTATTTAGTACACAGTCAAGACGAGGACAATGGCATGGCGGTGTAGGGCTTTGCTTCGCCAGCCATTAGAATCTCAGTAGGCTGTCATGACACTTGCTCACTTCACATCCGTCTCCGTTGTCGCTGAGCGCCGCAGAACTAAAAAGCTTGTTTGTGAAATCGAATCCTGCTCGAGCAGATGAGATTGCCAACCGGGAGACATGACTATGGTCGTGGCCTAGGTAATCAGTGCAGGACGGTAGAGTGAACGGTGGAGCGCTCCGATCCGCCCACACTGCTGCTGGTGTGTGAAGGTCATGCGATATGCTGCAAGACCTCACAGGAGAGTACACAGTAGATGTACGTAGAAAAGTATTGGTCTCAGCCCGGAGCCGTGTTCACTCGTTAGAATACTCTGCACTACCGGACGAACTTGTTTTCCGCCGCTTTACATTGCATGAATATAGTATACACAAAAATGTCGATTCAGCTTGTCTGATTGCGGTTATCAACTTTTTTTTCTTTTTTTCTTTTTTTTACTAAGAACACAGCCCAACCAAGAGACACGTGGAGACAAACACAAACAAAACACAGGGGATGTAGGGGTGACGTGCCAATGAACTGGGAGCAACTCGACCGACCAGAGGTCTCGGCGTTAGCGTTGCAACCTGGAATCGAAGGGGGGGGGGGGGGAGAGCGGGAGGGCCTACCGGACGAATTAACGAATCCGACCCTCTCCCAAGATAGTGGACACCAACAGCATGAACCCGTTTGGTCTCGTGGCTCAGTATAGTTGGGTGCTGTCCAGTAGCAATGTAGACTAAGAGGGTCGGATTTCCCTGAACCCAACTGCAACACTGAGCTAAGAGCTGTAGGTTGTAAAATACCCTAATTTCAGAAATTGTAGGTGCTCAAATTTTAGGTATGAGGGCAAAAGGCCAGGTTAGGTGAACAGAAATAGTTTAGGTACAAAGGAGTGTTGCCTATGATTGTTTGTGTGCATGCAGAGTGTACATGTATGTCAGGCTCAGGATGTGCTGGACAGTGCCTCAGCCAGCACAGGTACACTAGCAGTGCACAGTCCAACCAGGGTCACAGCAGCAGCAACAACAGCATCAGCAGCAACCACAGCAGGCGTTCCAGTAACAACTGTTGACCCTCGTAAGTCTGTGGTGACCGTCTCGGGCATGCTATGTGTACATGGTGTGCATCTCAGCATGGTTTTGGTGTGTGCTGCTCGACATATTTCGTGCACTGGGCAAATGCAGATTCAATTGTGACTCTGAGTTTCAAAATAGTGTCCATAATATACGAGAAGAGAACAGGTTGCTGGCTGTAATGCAATCTTGTTTTCCTGCTGTTGCTGCTACTACTGCTGCTGCTGTTGCTACCGCTACTGTTTTTGCTGCTGTTCTGTTGTCTACAGGGGTGTGTCCGAGCACGACAAATCTCCGTCACGGTCGTCATTTCAAGCACTGCCACAGACACTGGCAGCCTAACTCCCTGAAGTGGACCACGAACAGTGAGTGGCGGCACTCTGTTATACATCTTAGCATGTGCTCGTCAGCCGTATATTTATACACGGCAGTCCACACAGTAACTGTCACATGATTGTAGTTGATTTGGTCACTACCACACAAAATGCATGTATCAATTATCAGTGATACAAGTACATCATTGTTATGTGGTAAGCATCCTCAAAAAGATAATTTTTAAAATTAAAATTATTATTTTTGGACATGTGTACAATTTCAAAAACCTCTCCCCTGAGGAATACTTTGAAGGTGGCATTTCTTTTTGGTATGGTGCTAACATCTCTGTGCGTATCGTGTGGTCACACTGTGTTGTATGCGTGTACATGTAGATGTGAACTATCAAGGACTGATTGCTGTGGACCTAGTGCGGCAGATCGGCTGCCACGCTCGCATCAAGCACTGGCGTATGCGCCTGACCGACAGCTGTCTGCTGAAGCTGGTCATTCTGTCCGAGGACACCGCTGGCGCCGGTGCCGGTGGTGCATCAAACAGTGGCTCCACTCTGCGCCACTTCACTGAGAAGGCGTCGGTGTCCGCCTTCATGAACCCTGACCAACGAGGCATGGCAGAGGTGGACATGGACCAGATGGAGGAGATGATTGAGGTCGAGAAAGGTAGGTGCCGTGTTTCCCGATGCATAAGCCGCACTGTAGACAGCAGTAACTCACCCAAGAAAAGTCGGTGCTGCGTATACTACAATGGTCAAATTCACGGCGATAAACAGGGTGGACATCTGTACTTTGTGACACAACATCTGGGTGCAGCTTGTACTCCAATGCGGCTTATACTCCGGAAAATACATCAGGCCTGCCAACTGCAATGTGTCTGTCTGTGGTAGGGATGTCTTCCGCCAATTTAGGTTGCCATGCAGTAGGGTTGTCGCCTGCTTTCAACATGAAGGGGTGAGAATGTACATGGTATGTGAGCACATTTTCCAGTGCATGGTGAACTATTGCCAGTCACACCAACACCTGCACCACTTTGCAAGCATGGATATCAAACTTGTCTCAAATTCCATGCCTGGCATTTTCATTCCTCCTGCAAAGTTTCAGCTGATTTGGAGTCATGACAAGGACGCTATGGCGATTTGAAGATTGAAAAACTTCAGTTCTGTTTGTCAGGAAGAAAGGCCATGATCGCACACAAATCATACAACCCGTGTGGCACAATGATTTTTGAACGAAGTTGATCCGCGGACCCCGTGCTTCGCGCATGCACGCATGCATACTGCACAGTACAGGCTTTTTTGAACGCAGATATGTAGTTCTTCGTCTTCTTCGAAATGTCTTCCAAATGCGTGGTGCTGTACTACTGGTGTTGTTCTCAGCTTCGTCAAGGCAGAATGCAGCTGCATGTGATGCTCCTGTGTGTTCATGCATGTTCTCTTTTCGCGTCTCGACATTGTACCGTCCAGACTCAGCTCGACTGGAGAAGATTGAGGAGACTATGCTTTGATCCACATGGAAAACCGATGAAATTTGGTAATTATCGTCGGGCGCTAAAAAGCGCTGGGGAGCATGGGGCTAAAACTTCGTAGCAGTCATCCCTACCATGACAGGCATCGACTGGTATATGTTCCATTCTGTTCCCAACCACTACGGGTCGTCTGCGAAGCTTTCTTCTTCGCCCATTCTCGGACAGATCGTACGTCTTCGCACTGTATCTCTCGTCTCCCTCAACGGATCAAAACACGGTTTCCGCCAGGACGAACACAAACCCCCAGATTTCGCGGCGGCAACGTCTTCGAGTAGGGAAAAGCTAGCAGCTAACCAGGAATCACCAAAAAACACGTGTAATACTCAGTGTGATTTGCGACAGCTGTCATTGTGCCGTCACACCATGCATGTACCATGCACGGGAATGGAACACGGATGAGTCGTTTTATTACGACAGCCTGCACTGGCTACGAGTAGGGAGGTTTTCATTTTCGTTGGGAAATAGGGGGATGTTCAAAAGTTGGACAGAAACATATAAGAAATTTAGGAGATCTCCCACCTGATAGGAAGATTTGGCGCATCTGGGTAGTGGACAATGGAAGTGAGCACATCATGACATTTTTGTCGGGTGAAATGGAACTACACAGTGCTACCAATACATCTATTCACTAACTGTATACCTGGCCTTATTCTGGCCTTATTCTGCATTGTCGAAGCATGACTGACTCTTCAAAACCACAACGTTTTGTTTTTCTCTTCACAGGCAATATTGTGGCCATAGTGCAGCTCAACTCCACATCCAGCTCAAACTGCCTGTGCTTCGCGCCCAGTCGCCGTGGGGGCAAGCTATGGTCAGCACTGCACCATGGACACATCGAGTCAGGTCCAGTATCCACCTATGCACCATCACCCACTCTAAGCGATGACGCCATTGAAAACAGGAATGATGTCATCGAAAACAGGAATGATGTCATTGAAAACAGGAATGATATCATCGAGAGCAGGAATGACGTCATCGAAAACAGTAATGACATCATCAGGCATCCCAATGATTCTGAGCAGGCGGTTGGATTTGAAGAGGCAGTCGATCCCAGGCCAGCAGATGCAGTACGGCGTCAGAAGAGACAGGCAGGGAGTACTGGCGGGGGCAGTGCAGGCAGCATCGGTGGTGACGTGTTTCTACTGCAAGCGCAGATTGGACGCTTGTCCTGGGGCCTGACACTGGATACGACGCAAGGTAAGATAGCCCTACAGTGTGCTATGGGATTCTCAAGTAGTGCATGCTGCTGTTGCTGCTGCTGCTGCTTCTTCAGTAGCTACCAGTTGCGATCGGTGAAATCCGACTGGAAGGGGGCTGAAGAGACTGTATGCATGAATGTTGTTCTTTCAGCCGATGAACCGGATTTTGCAGATTGATATCGTGTTCCCCGTCCCCTTAATCATTCATAGTGGAAGGTTGGGATAGGGAGGAAAATAGCTTCATAATTATTGGAAGTAAAGTGCGCACCTATGATTTGTGACCAAAAAACAACACTATTCTTACTCGAGGAAAGTTGGTATGCTCATACAGAGTGTAGAAATGTTCTATCTTACAGTACAGATCTGCACCTCTGTTTACTTGAGACGGTTTACATATTATATCTGTTTACTTTCTCGCTTCACGCTCAGGGTCAGGTGACCTCGAGAGTCGCTTCATCGACTTCTTCGGCGATGACTCTGATATGAGTATGTCTGCACGGCCCTCTGCAACCACCGCAGCAGGAAGTAGCGCGAACACTTCCAGCGCCCAACCGTCATCCGTATCAGAAACGACAAGCGCACCGACTCCGAATCAGCAGCAGCAGGCATCGGACTCCATCATTATCAGCAGCTATGTGTCAGAGCGTGTTTTCGGCTTGACCGGCAGTATGCAGCTGATCTTCGATCTGACCTCCCTGCAGGCAGCAACCACTACCAGCCAATCAGATGTTCTAGATGACATTGCGTTCCCCACGACTCCTACTATGACATCATCAACGCCATCAACGCCACAGTCAGAGGTTACAGCGGCAGAGGTACAGGCTGGCGTTACACCCACAGACCAGCACACCACGGACATAACAGGCCGTCCCATCACCACAACTCTCCCCGACGATACAGAGTATGATGTTCTCCCGATCGTGATTGCCGTGGTGGTGCTGCTGGTGCTGGCGTTTGCAGTGCTAATCGTGTTCCTGGCTATTCGCTGGCGCCATCGTCAACGCGTCAGTCGCAAGGTGTACAGCCGGCACATTGTCAACTCCACGGCCGCGAGCATGGAGAGACAGCGACGTAAGCACGTGCTCAGCAAGAGGAAGAGGACGGGCAGGCAGAGAGGGTCCAGGCGAGGTAAGAGTGCAGTGTACTGTGAAAAGGCATTGAGTAGTGCAGCACATTATGTGCCATGCTTGACACGCATAAACAATGACAGAAAATCCCTATTGTTAAGTGCGCTTATCACAATATAATGTACTCTATTTATTAAAAGTGATTATCTTAGCAGCTGGTTTCTGAGATTTTCCTTGTTCACATCTCCAGTGCTGGATGCTCCAGACGCAATATGTACATTGCTGCTCAATCAAATCTAGTCGCGAGAGTCAAGTTGGCGCCGTGCACCATGTTGAAGCCCAGTGTTCGCAGGTCTAGGGCTGCGCACCGCCCGGCGCGTACTTGAGTGACACGACTGGATTTCATTGAGCAGTGCTGTACATTGTACTTGCACGCAGTTGGGAATGCCAGAGGGAAAAACTGTGTATAACTACTCTGCACACACACAATGTCACATAAGCTAAGGTTGCAGAAAAGAATCTATACTCCATGCCATTTGAGTATAGAAGTTTTCTTCTTGTTGGATGGAAGTCGCATAAGCATGACCTTGGAGTCACAAAACACAACTTGCGGTATTCGGTTTGAAGTGTTATTTCTTTTTTTGGGGGTATTTTGTCTACTTCTGATGCTGTTACAGAGATTGGAGCACCTCTAGAGTGCATACGAGTACAGTCAGGAACACCGGCGTTCATCACCGCCTCCGTGTCTGCCAGGAACCAGTTCCGAGACGCTCACGACGCGCTCACAGTGCGCCACACGGTGCACTGCGAGTCGGAAGTCACCGACGGCAGAGATATCTACAGTACCAATGCTCAAGCAGTGTACAACAGTCAGCAACAACACCAGGGAGGCAGTGGACAGGCGGCGAATTCTCGCGTTCGCCGACCTCAACGGTCGGAAACGTTCGAACGGCCAAACCCGGCGACGATTCCAGATCCACCGCCACCGTCCATCCCGGCCAGTCGTGTGTCCATACGCGTTCACGTGGCCAAGGAGCCGGAACACGATATGACCGAGGTGGAGTCCCTGCACACCCTGGCCCGTCCTCAGCTCAGCGATATACCGGAGCGCGACAGTCGAGCGGTATCTGAGCAGCTCAGAGTCGGCACACCGGCCGCTCAGAGTGGCAGCGTCCACAACACGGTGTATCGCAAGTCTCAGCTCTCCGCACAGTATAGCTCATCATCGCAACCGCCGCTCAACTCAATGTATTTAAATCACCCGCAACAGTACCCTCGCAACAGCCACCACAGTGGCACAAATGAATACGATGACGCAATGCACACAGGCAACAACTCAACATTCAGCTCGGCCACACCGGACGAGATTTTCGGCCAAGAAGAGTCGGAGATCGACACGGAGTGGGATACGGATCCGGAGCCCGATATGGCCGAGACGATGTTGTCCCCGTTCAATGCTCTCGGTGGGGAGGATGCTCATTTCCCACCACCGCCACCGCCACCGACGTCGCAAGGTTTCGATGCTGCTGGTGCTCCCGTTACGATTATGTCATCGCACGTTGTCGCCACACCTCAGTACAGCAACACCACACTTGTCAGCGACCTTCCCTCGACTAACAGCACCATGAGTAAGAACAACAACAACGACACTTATTACAGCAACAACAACAACAGTGGTGATAGATTAGTGAGCGATTCTAGCTATGCCGTCTCTGCACAACTGCCTAACAACATGCAGCCCGGATACCAAGAGTCGCACTACCATTCCTCCAAGGTCGCCGCATCGCCACACACGGCCACGAACAACATCGGCGTCGATTTTCCCAGAGCGGTGGCGATGCACCTGGACGCTGATCACCACATGCCAGCTGAGTCACGGCACAGTCATTATCACTCGACCGACATCAGCCTGGGGTCGCTCTCCGATCTCGCACTGGGTGCCGCGTCTGGTCACGTGATCTCCGCGGAAACCCGTGCCAGGAGCATGTCGACGGGTGCACGCCGCGACGCAGGAGGTCTCGACGCCGACGCCGTTCACCTGTACACGCTACCGTCTCAGCGACGCCAGACCCGCACCGCTCCGTTGAAGCCCAAACGCCGTGCCAGCAGTGTACGCGCCACGTCCACCTCCCTGCCGAACAAGCACATGCATTGCCAGCGCAGGCGGCGCAAGTCCAACGGTGCCGTACTGGATGCTGATGAGAGCACCATGGATGTCAGTTCCGCTGCCGTGTCCTCCACTCAGACCATGGATAAGCTGATGGTCCAGTTCCGCCGCCACGAGACCGGTGAAGTGCGCACACACCAGTACGCCCTTACTGAGCCAGACACATAGGTCCTGCTAACAGCGTGTGCACTTACTGTGCCAGGCGCATAGACCAGCAGCACATGGTCCTGCTAACAGCTAGCTACTCTGGGTATAGGCGTACGCACTCACTGATCCAGACACATAGGCTAACACATAACCTTGTTATCAGCTAGCTACTCTGTGCACAGGTCAGCTTGAACTGTGATGTTTCCTTCAGCAACGCAAACATTCCGTTGGCTTCCTGTATCAAATCAAGCACCAACTTTAAACCAGCTCTTCAGACAAAACACCAATATCTAATTTTTGTGTGTGTGTATGCAAGGCAACATATGCATCACTGGATAAGTCTGTATCAAAGCTGCAGATCCATGTGCCCAGTGCATATATTCCTTATGCAATCGTGTTGACAGTCAAAGACATAAGTGATTTGGGTTGGCGCAACACTCTCCTTCATTCTTATCTCAAGCATGCACAGGATATTACAGTATTTTTTACATAATAATTATATCAAAACAAAAATATGTGGTGGAAACATACTTGATATTTGTATGAATTTGTGCAATTTTATGGCTCAGATCTTATTTTGGCTCACATAAATACACTACATGTAACTGCATATCTTTATGGTTTCGAACCATATCTTGTTGTTTCCCAAGCAATGTATGACACGTAATAATGATAACCCAGCTACCATTATGAATATACCATAAAACCATTGTGTTTACAAGTGTACACCTCAGAAGTGCTTGCAAGTGGTATACTGATCTGGTCAGAAGTAGTTTTCGATTTGTCCGGCCATGCCATAGCCTTTCACACAGTTTATGTGTATAGCATAGTGGTTACACATACACATAACCTGCTCAGCAGTACACATGCGTTGATGGGCGATATGTCGGTCCGGTGATGACCTGACCAACCGGACCGGTTCCGGCTGCGTGCATACATGCTGCACCGTTGCTTTGCATGTCACGTTTGGAAGCTGTGGCCTTAGTAAAAAAAAAAAAAAATGTATACGTTGGCAGCCAACAAGTAAGTTAGTTGGTCTGGTGATGAACTGGCGGCGGGCCTGCAGCCCAGTGTAGTGTGTTTGCTCCTCGTCCGGTTCTACTGCAAGCACCTGTCGATGTAAACTGCACACTTACCCCCGCACCCTTACTGCCTTAGCGCGTACATGGGCTGTAGTTCACGTACACACTGCAAGAATGGAGCAGCATTGCTTGCGGCTGCAAGGTCAGCACCGTGTGACCGCTGGATTTCTCAACGGATTTCAATGTCCACAATAACCTGGGTACTAGCACATGTGCCGGATCTCAGCAATCCTGTGTTCCTTGCCTGTAGCGGAAGTTCTTGTTTATCCACACGTACACGGAGAATAGGATACACATGAGAGCCGTGTAGACAAAGTACTGGTAGCGTATCGGTATGGGTACTTCGGCCAGGACAGCCACCAGCAGTGTGCCGAACGCTTGAGACAGGAACCAGAGAGATGTCACAACATTCCTGCAAGCACACACACAGTGACACAAGCACACACACACACACACCATTGCAGCAAGAAAGAGAGAGAGAGAGAGAGAGAGAGAGAGAGAGAGAGAGAGAGAGAGAGAGGGAGAAAGAGAGAGAGAGAGAGAGAGAGAGAGAGAGAGAGAGAGAAGGTAAAATTCTAAGGAAGAGAGCAAGAGTGAGGGAACGAGGGAGAGGACAATACACCAGGCAAGATGACAGAAGGGATGCGGACATAAAAGGAGAAGGGAGGGAGGGAGGTAAGATGAGAAGAGAAAAGACAGAAAGTATAGCGGAAGAGAGACAGAGACAGGAGGGGTTTAAGTGTGATGCTGTCCTGAGTTTTGAGTGACAATATTACACTTGTATGGCTTGAAGCACACATACGGAAAGAGAGTGCATGTGAATGACATACTCGCAGACCAACAAAACGCATTTGTGCAGAACCTCTTCTTCGCACTCACTCCTTCATCGTTTATGGAGAGTCTAGCCACATAATTATATGGTCGGACGAGAAGGCAGAAATCATGCGGCCTGTGTACAGTATCTGGTGAAGTAAAATGAAAACTAAACAAACCAAACAACTCACCGTAGTCTGTCCGGCGCTTGCGAATACGCAAACTCCAGTCCCGTCACCGCTACCAGCACCTCGGCAAACGATATCAACACATACTGCGGCATTTGCCATGCTATGCTGACGTTGCCATGGCAATCGGTGCTGTCATCGTTGCCCCGCTGCTCGGCCGTGTGGCTGATGTAGAGCTGCAGCAGACCGGCCAGTATGAAGCTGAAGATTGTGCATAGTATGCCTAGACCGATCTGTATGGACGCACAGACAAAGAGAAGTCCTTCGGCTCAAGGTAGTGTATTTATAGTATTTCAAGGATTACCCAGAGGCTCTAGGCCTGTTGAGGGGATCTCCAACTGACAGAAATCATGTATTTGGGAAAGAGTACAAGAGTACAAAGAAGTGCTCAATGCTAGAACTGAGCTATTCCTTGCAGTCCGGGACTGGGCACTGCCTGAAACTTTGAAATGTCCGTCACTCCAAATCACATACATTTTGATGGGGAGAGGCCATAGGTATGGCACATCACGTCACTTTCCCCACAAAAAGTGGCAAAAGAGGGGTAGTAGTCCCACTGAAACTCGTCCAAAGGGTCGAGATAGATGGTAGACCGAAGTGCCCGTAGCCTTGGGGTCCGGATAACCGAGGTGTGGGTCTGGGTGTACTACAATTTGAACTCACTCGTCGTATCGGCGTGGCAACAAAGCCCAGCTTCTCCTTGAGATGAGGATACACGATATAGTCCAGAAGTGGTATTATCAAGATCACCAGACAGTCGTTGAAGCTTGGCATGGCATCTGTACGGGTATGGTGTGTGGCGTGTGTGTGTGGGGAGAGACCAGGTGGAGAAGAACAGAAGGCAACAAGGAAATTAGTACAGACCCGAACAGGTGGAAGCAGTTTTTGATTGGTCCCACCGTACAATAGCCTTACATACAGTTTGTGTATGATATGGAGGGTAGTCACATGACTTTCATACAGTTTGTGTATGATATGGAGGGTAGTCACATGACTTTCATACAGTTTGTGTATTATATGGAGGGTAGTCACATGACTTTCATACAGTTTGTGTATGATATGGAGGGTAGTCACATGACCTCCTCAGCAGTAAACACACGTTGGTGGTCAAAAAGTTGGCCTGACCATGGCCGGGACCAACCGAACCTGTACATGCTTGCAAGTCATGATTTCATGATAGACGGAACATATTCTGCAGTGAATTGCACTCAATTGCACTCAACGAACAGGCCATAGCACACACACGCAACTCCCAGGCCATAGCACTAGGATCAATCTCAGTCTGCTCACCTGGTGGTATCTTCAGCTTGCCGAGGTAGCAGTTCATCTCCTGTCCCTGCAGCACCCAGGTGGAGTTCTGCTGAAAGAACAACGACCAGTAGACGATGAGAGGCACGAACACTCCGAGGACGGGCTTGATCTCGCTCAGAGTCTCCCTCCATGTACGCTGTTGTGGTGCTGTCTGAGTACCAGTGTCATGTTCTGAACTGCTTTCTCCTCTCACACCCAACAGGGGTGATGTTTCCCCGGCCGAGCGGCCCTTCCCCAGGTCGGGGTCGCTCGGCCCCGACCCGTTGCCCATCTGCACCCCGGTTTCTCGGAACGAGGCCTGGGTCTCCGGTGCCGGGTCATGTGACGTGATGTCGGTGCGTTTGTACGTACGGTGACCGGTGATGAACACTACAGTGGATATGATGAATGAACCTGAGTGAATATTGGAAATGTCAGAAAGAGAAAAATTAACAGCACCACATTTAGAATGAACCTAAATGAAAATGGGGTACCTGGTTCAAGTCCTGCCTGGGAGCGGTTTTTCCAGCCGTGCTGCTACCCACAGTCAACTGGGAACTTGTGGCCAGGCACAAGGGGTACATGGATGCAGCTAATAGGGTCGTTCTTGGCACTTGTGCCAGTGGTTGTGAGACTTATTCATTCACCCTCACCGTTAGGCGCTGCATCTGCCGCTAGGGTTTACCGGGTGTTAGCGGTCGTCGTGAGTTTCCTTCGGGAACGGACACGATAATTTACTTTAAAAAAAAAGTGAAAATGGGAAATAACAGTAAGAGAAAAGAACAACATTTGAAATCACAGCGCAAAAATTAAACACGTGCAAGGACACCTGGGGTCGTTGCAAACGTTTTTTTTGCTGTCCCAAAGAGTGGATAAGTACATGTACGTGGGTGGGTGAGTGTTGGAGGGGTGTTAGCCAATATCGGAAGTCAACCAACACTGTAGGTGGGTGGGTGAGTGTTCATGCATGCGGTCCCTGATGGCATAAATTAAAACGTGTTTCAACCGCCTAGGCTATTCACTGACCTGCGATAGTGCTGATGCAGATAAGAAAGTGAACACTCTGCCTGAGAACCGGCCCACCCAGCTCTCCACCGAGACTGCCGACGTTGCAGAATAGATAGTACCAGGAGAACGACTTCCTCTTGGCTTCTTTCTGCGGGGCACACAAGAAACGCATGCACACACTAAACTGTCTTCTTTCTACACACACACAGCAAACATATGCACACACTAAGCTGGCTTCTTTCTACAAAGTACACACAGCAAACACATGCACACATGGAGTTTGCACCAAGTCTGGATGAATGAATGTATATCGTATTTTCTCTAATAAAAGCCCAGGTCTCCAATAATAGCCAGTCTCCAATAATGACCAGGGGTGAGGGTGGTTTGAAATAATAAGAGCACAGTCTCTAATAGTAGCGGGGGTCACAATTGGAATATGCAACAAGTATATTGACTGCATATAAAACAGCAGTACAACATGCCAAGAACATATTTGCAAGGAGGTTTTCGGTCTACTGCTTCCTTCCTGGCGCCAATGCTATTGTGAAACATCTGTTTTGACAATATTCCTGAGTTTAGGGTTGAAAAATCAGTCTTGATATGGTCAGTTTACGCCAGTATAGACTGGAGTTGGCTTGATACAATGATAGTTGACAATTTAAAAAATAATAGCCCAGTCTCCAATAATAGCCCAGCCTCTAATAGTAGCGCGGGTAGAGCTGTCACTGGAAAAATAAGAACCCTGGGCTCTTATTAGAGAAAATACGTTATGTACTCCCCTCCCACACACATTTTTGAAGTACAGTAGAACCTGTCAAGGCGACCACTCTGATAAGGAGACCACCTGTCCTAGAAGACCACTGTAACCAGGACTAAGGGATGCTGTTTCCAGTCAAATGACCCTGTATAAGGAGACCACCTGGTAACAGAGACCACGCTTTGAAGGTCCCTTGAGCGGTCGTCTTAGACAGATTCTACTGTACGTGTGTGCACACATGGACACACCGTAGGTTGGCTTCTTACCGCATACACCTAGCAAACATACATACATACACCAATGTTGATCCAGAAGGTAAGCCTGGGCATACGCATACAAACGCTCATGTAATTACTCCCCATGCACATAAAGTCAACCTCACAAATAATGAACCTCGCGAATAACAGCACTATTCTCATGGCTGATCAATGCTCATTACTTGCCAAGTTGACTGTACCCATATGCGTGCACACCCGGACACATTAGATCAAATGCTTCTAAAGGGTTCGGTCAACTGCTGAGTGCTTGTGTATGTGTTGTATGTATACCTGCATGCTAACACTCTTGGCAAAATAGAGCAAGGCATTTACTCCGACTCTGAGACTTAAGTTAAAATGTGAATGCCATGGGCAAGCAGCAGGATTCGGCTTTCTACACTGTATGGAGTGCTCAGCTGTCGTGTGGTGGTTGATGAGAAAAAGACTTGGTTCATTAATATTGTCATAGGCCATCCCTATAACTGTGCCAGTTCAAACAAACTTGAACATCAACAGCAGAAACCCATACCTGCTCAGCTGAGAACTGGTTTCCAACGAAAACACTCTGGATTGTCTGAGCTTGTCCGTACCCTACAGCAATCAACTGTGTCAGAACAGACAGGACACAGTGATGACAACACCATAACACTGATTTCATCAACAAAAACACTGATGACATCACCATCAAAACACTGACGACATCACCATCCAAACACTGATGACATCACCATCAACACATTGATGCTGGACATCACCATCAAAACGCTGACGACATCACATTAAAACATGGATGACATCACCATCAACGCACTGATCGGACATCACTTGGGTAGTGAACACACATGACCACTGCAGAAAGCACTGGAACAGATGTTCCACCGTCTGCATACTTAGCAATACAAGTTCTTGCAAAGGAAAAGCTCTCATCGGATCATTTCTACAACATCCCTGAGACGTACATGTACATGTCCATGCAGGTTTCTTTTATGCAAAACTCAGAAGTAAAGGCATCAAAGTCAAGTTCCTTGTTCTCCAGTCATGGGGAGTTTTTATTCCTCACTCCCACAATCAGCAGGGGCGGATACAGGATTTTTCCAAGGGGGGGGGGAGGGTTCAATTTTTGTCCCTACCCACAATGACGAAATGATGACATACACATGTACATGATTGTATAACAAGTTCACACGTTCGCGTTATGGGTACAGCACCAAATAATACTTGAACATGCCTGCTGCTATACAAATGTAACTTCAGAACCCCTGTTTTCAACATTCTGCAGCTAAAACATTATTGAAGACACGCAGCACAAGGAAGAATTTCTTTACGGCAGAATAGCTGATTGGTACTTTCCGATTCCAGCAGCTTGTCTGTAATAATTTTCCATAATTTTGTACTCTGAGCCGCCCGATGTTGACTCCACTGTACAGTAGGTTCCATAAGGCAGGCTTCTTGCATCTTTCGTGTCTCAGTCATAATTGTCCCCAGTTCGGAGAAATTTTGATTCTTGGATGATAGGACGTTGAACTTGAAGGTGATTTTCAAAGTTTCGCTCTTTGTTTTACCTTCGACACTAGTGGCTACACTTTTCTTTGGAGTGTCACCAAAATTCAATGGCAGCTGGTCTTGATCCTGCCTCTTTTAGACGCTTCGACGAACTCTATTAGACAGCTCAAAAAGCACGAGCCGTGACGACAATTACAGCACTGCACGGCCATTATTCAAAATCTAGTTTTGAAACTAATACTTTCTTTCGAAGTTTCCGCAGCAGCTCAACAAATGCATACACCTCTTTCTCCGAAGCGAACGCGTAGCAGTAGATCTACTTTAGTCTTTGTATTATCTACAGCTACGTAGATCTGCAAGACAACAATGTTCAATGAATATGTCATAATATAGATCTACCAAGCTGCATAGCAAGCGGACCGCTCTGGTCTGCAGGCCATTGTATGGGGCGAGCACGTCGCACGGGCATGGGTTCGTGGTCACACCCGAACTATGGTCGGAACAAATCAGGGGGGTTCGTTCGAACCCCCCGAACCCCCCCCCCCCTGGATCCGCCCCTGATCAGTCTCATTGCCCGTCACATGGTCAGTCACATGACCAGTCACATGATCAGTCACATGATCAGCCACATGGTCAGTCACATAACCACTGGTATGGAGGCAATGGATGTCTTACCGCGAGTCCAAGGAAGGACGCCGCCATATCAATATCTCTCCAGCGGGCATTCTTATCACCCGACGACGTATTCTGAGAAGCTACTGCAATGGCCAGCACCCAACAACAGATGAAACGAAGATGAAGGAAATTACAGTTTTAGTGAAAATTTGCATGTTTTGTTTTGTTTTGCAATGTCCGCCTCCGCGATATTGTTCCTTAATCGCATTACTAAAAATATTGTCTCCGCGTTACATATTCAAAAGTAACAGCAAACCATGCTTTCAGAGTGAAGCTAATATTATAATAATTTGCTATCATCAGTATTCAGGGGTCAAGGTCCCGTTTGCTGTGCGTATTACTACAGTAATTACAGCGGCAACGTCTGAAGGTAATTGTGTGTGGTATGGTCAGCCATCTGAAGTACAATATACTTGTGTGGGAGGGGTGGCCGAGCCGAAACATGACGGGGTACTTGGGGCAAAACGTAGTACAGTCCATACCATAGTGACCGTACCGTGTCCGACGCCTGTGGTAAAGCAGACAAACAAACAGTTGCGCCTCTGTACATACCTGCTGTAAGTATACTGGCATAGTCGAGGCCATCATCTCCCCCAGCTCCGCTTGATACAGTGTCCAGTGTACCGAGATGCCACGTGGCCACTATCAGCATAGCACTACCCAGTGCAGCTATGCTGTTACTCACTATCTGCGTTCTGTAGTTACCTGTGCGAACAGACAATATACACATGCAAATACACATTATAAACACTAGGGGTGAAACGACTGAGTTGATGAGTCGACTAGCCAGTCGATACGGTTGAGTGAATGGAAGGAAAACCCTTATCAACTCGCACAAATGTTAAAAAATACATGTACAAATGCCCAGAATTACATGACTGTGGTTCATGCACTTGTCCCGCAAGTTCAGGCCATGTACTGTGAAGTACATTAAATTTTGGCACATGAATTCATTTCGCTTTAATTTAGCATACAACCGAGTACATGAACGCTGCAAAACACATTCTGCAGCAGTCCGTTGGAACATTGAAACCTATAAAGTCGTCACATTGTGCTTTCTTGAAACCTACAATGTGCTCGTGTTTTGACTCTGCTTGCTTGTGCATGGGTGTGTGACCATGCATGTGCGTGTATGTGCAGTCAACTTCACTAATAACGACAGCGGATATTACGATAATTCGCGAATAACGACAGAATTTCCATGCCCAGAGCAAAGTCCCATCTGACCTGTATACATATAGTGACACTTCGGGTATAAGGACACTTTTCTGATGCCCCGCCGAGTGTCGTTATACGCAAAGTTGACTGTATGTGTAAATATGTTTGAGTGCAGTTTGTTAGCAGTTTAGGATTAGGGTTAGGGTTTACCGGGTGTTAGCGGCCGTCGAGAGTTCCCTTCGGGAACGGACACGATAATTTACTTTTACTTTGTTAGCAGTTTGTGCACAGGTTTCAGCAAGCTCACCCCATTTCTTATCAGCCAGGTATCCAGCAGACAGCGCTACAACCTGCTGTAGCCCGACCCAGAGGTTCATGGAGGTTGTGCTGAGCTTGTTGCGGCGTTTCTTGCTCAGACCGTGCACCGTGTGGGGGAATAGGAATGTTGAGAAGTAGAGCTCCAGCACGGCTTGCAATCCGCTACCAGCAAAGCTGTAAAACACAACGAGAAATGAGATGGCACGATAGTTGAGTGTGGATGATGGCTCAGGCTACACTGGCTTCGGAGACACTAAAAGAAAGCGTGTTACCTAGTGAAGCAATGAGAAAATAATGATCTTTCAATTCCAACAATGTGCAAGTCGGTATGTTGGTAGGACCGTTCAGCACCAGTGAACGCATGCATCAAACATCACACACCACTTCACATACTCCCACCAGGCGCACAACAAAATTAATGAGAAATGAGACGGCGCAAGTGAGTGTTTCAGCTGAGTCATGAGATACACTAGTTCGGGAGACATTGAAAAAAGAAGAAAAAAGCGTGTTACTATAGTAAAGCTTCAATGCAGTACATGCACCTGAGCAATCCACACCAGTCCGAATGAACACTAGGAACTTTCGAACCGAACGTTTTCGTTCCCTTCTCATTTTTGCTTTATTCCCTGTAGGAGCCCATGAAGAGAAGGGAACGAAAACGTTTGGTTCTAAAATTTCCTGGTGCTCTCTTGGACTGGTGTGGATTGCGCAGATGCATGTACTGCATTGAAGAATAGGAAACGCTTCCAATTTGTTCTAGAAACTATTAAAACAAAAATTTACGGTTCGCGTGAGACTCCGCTGGAAACCGAGTTTTCCGCATCCGTAGGAACACCACCACCCTTCAAGGATCAAGGCGCAGATGCAGCTCCTAAAGCGGTGGGAGGTGAGTAGATCAGCTCACCAGCAAGTGGTCAAAGACCGAAAACCCCATTCACTGCACCTATAGTATAAACTATAGTAACGCATCAAATCATACATAATGTCACTCACCTCTGAAACACTGTGCTGATCATAAGAAATGCTACAGCAGCGGTTGGATATGCACTGGCCATGCTGCTTGCATCCCCACCACCACCACCGGCTCCTCCATCAGGCACAATGGTGGGTTGGTGTCTGCTGGTACTGCTTACATCCCCGGCGCCGTCCCCTCCATCCGTGCCTTTTACCTCGTCTTCAGGCACAACAGTGGGGTGGTATGCGCGAGTGCTGCATGCATCCACGCCTCTATCTCCTCCATCCGTGTCGTCTACGTCGTCCTCAGGCCCGATGGTGGATTGGTATTCGGCTGGCTGCTTGGGATCATCTCTACTAGACTCTCCAGGAGGATGAGAAGATGAACAGAGAGGCTCACAGTCCTGCGCCATGCCAAGTTCAACTTGATCGGCGACACGTGAGGTTGAGTGCTGATCCCGAGGACTGGATGAAAGCCTGCGGTGCCGCACCGGTAGTGCAGCATGTTCTTCTTGGCTGGCGGCTATGGAATGAGACGCACCCGCACTGCTAGAGAGTTTGTCCAATCCCACCGCAGTGTGAACAATGGTGAGTACTCCCTCAGGATTGCGTTGGCCCAATGAATTCTGGTCTCTACATGGAGTAGTGATGTTTACGATGCTGTTGGTGGTGTTCGTCAGGTCACCGCTGATCCTGGCACTGCTGGTGTTCATGGAGGCTGCGAGGTCATGGAGTGGTTCTGGTGTTGCTGCTGCTGCTGCTGCTGCTGCTGCGCCAGAGTGTGAGCTAGTGCAGTGATCATGCTGATCTAGATCACCTGGTGCTGGGTGCTCAGGGTTGGTGATGATGTCCATTGTGTTGCGCTCCGGGTTAGCAGTACCATGGCCTAAAGACGGGCTGCGGTTGTCCGCCATTGTAAGACTCTACCATGAGAAACAGGCACGCACACAAACACACACATACATGCCCATGCAGGCATAGTCAGGCACACACACATGCGTAATACACCCACATTCACATACACACACACACACACACATACACACACACACACACAGACACACACGCACACCGACGCGCGTGTCCACCCCAAACACAATATCGTATTTTCCCGAGTAAAAGCCGCACTGGAGTATAAGTCGCATCCAAACTTCTTTTTCACGAAAACACAGACATCATCCCTGTATATCACCATTCATTTGACCATCGTAGTAAAAACCGTACCGATTTTTTTTTTGGGGGGTAAATTTCTAGTGTTGAAAGTGTGGCTTATACTACGGAAATGTAGTACTAGAATTTCTGCAGCCCACGAATGACCAGCAATATGTGCACAGAAAGCAACTCAACAGATTGCAGGTCTTGGTGCTTTCGCCATTCATCACAAACCTTAATGGTACTGTATATTTACTTCAAAGAAGTACAGTACAAGTATAAGGCTTACCAAAGTGATATGCGACAACCAGTGTAGAGCACACTACCTCCAGACCAATATCATTATTATCACGCCGGGATGAGATTGAAATTCAGCCACAGGTGCAGTCACCATACCAATCCCATAATCACTGTCAGGCACTCTTACTGAACACGCTGAATCCCGGCTAGCTATAGGGATGGATCTCTGCCGCTAGTCCTCACGCACACTAGCATACACAGTATCTGTATGAGGCCGGAGTTATAAAAATCCAATGCTGAGAATCCAATGCTGAGAATCCAATGCTAAGAGTGAGACACCGTATGATGCAGGGACCAGAGTATCAGGTCAGATCATTCACCTCCAGCCAGACCAGCACAGGTAGTAATGTGTTGACTACAAGTACAACAGTATACTATGATACACACACGCTATGTTGCTAGCTAGTCTGCAGGTTCATAGACCAATCACCAGACTGACAACAGTATACTTAGAAGTAAGCAAGATTGCAAAAATGTCACCATCGGTTCCTTCCCACATTATTTTGATTCATTCTAGGGCTGCACGCTCTGGCCCATGTCTAGATGGAATCACTGTGGTTGCTGTGCCCCACTCCCAGCACCTATATTATGTATGCCATGGACAATGCAATAATATTATGCAAGTCAACCCACCCATGAGTGCAGTGCTGTACGTGCATGCAGTCTGTCACTGACAGTCTGTGCTGGCTGTCAAACATCTACATCATGTACATGACTGTACACTGATGTACAGGTCCAGCATGCATGCAGTGCAAAGTCCTGAAGGCGACGGGAAATCCCCCAACTGAAGTGAGCTGCTTCAAACCTCAAAACTCATCTGTCTGCACACTCACTTCAAACCCAGTGCAGTCACCATGGTCACAGGTCTTAGCACCATGTACCACAGGCATAGGGATCCAAGCAGGCCCTGTATGGCCTGGTGCATTAGAGGTAGCATGGCACCACTAAAGTCTAAACTTTACACTAAAGCATGTCCTAACAACAGTAATTCAGTTACACTTACAGAGGTACTACTGCTCCCAGCAATACATGTAGAGTACTACTACTAGCCTTTTGATTGGTCTCTGCTCTGGCTGTGCCTGGCTTACACCAGCAGTGCACTAGTAGTGCTAGTAGGCATGGTAGATCTGAGCTGGGCCTCAACTGTTCAAGTACCACATGCACATTCTCCAGTGTGCCCACTGCATTCCACTTCAAAAGGACTTAGCCACCTCCACTAGGCTCCAGATAGTGGAATGCTGAACACTAACTGGGCTGAGTGTGTGGAGGGCCACATTGAACCCTGACAGCAGGAAGTCACCTCACCATTATGGTACAAGCACATGTGGAATGTCATAGTCGAATTATGTGCAGTGCTGGATATCACATGACAACATTCAGTTGAAGCAATGGAGACAGGTGTGTGTGTGGGGGGGGGGGGGGGGGAGGGAGTAGTCAGTGTCTGTGGATGGCTAAACCTGGGCATACCCATCATGGATACAGGACATCAGGTCCCTCCCCTCCGTTCATGCGTGGAATGGTCCCGCTGGTCAGGCCATGGCAGGACAAACTCTTTGACCACCGACGGCGGGACCAATCAAAAACTGCATCCAACATACATGCAGGACTGCTGTACTGGTACATGCCCTGGATGCTATGCTGAGATTGTTCCCCTCTACTAGTAGTGGGGTGTGGCCATGGGACGTTCACAAGGGCATACCAGAATAGGTTTACCCCCCCCCCCCCCCATGGTATTGAGTGACTCAGTATATGCTCATGGGCTCAGGTATACAGTCAGCATGTGATCCTTGAAGAATATGAATGCCACATGCAGCATCAATGTACTTGTTCTTACCTTCTGTGCATGGTGTAGAGCCACGTGCCGAGTGTGGCAATATGCAGTACAGTCACTCCAGATCCATATGAATTACAGTCACTCCATGTCCATATGCAGTAGTACAAGCATTCCCCCCTGGCAGAATGCCGTCTGAGCCATATGCAGTCTTACACAATCATTCCTGGTGCCCACATAGCTGTGCTGCCACCAAAGTGAGTGTGTGTATGCAATGATGGTGGCCATAGGGAGGAACCCCAGTTCTGGCTGTGCTGTGTTGTGGCTTCAACATCCTGTTCCTTGCCCACGGCATTGCCATTGGGTCGCTAAGACACAATCCTTACTCCCCATGTACATGTACATGACACACGTGTACGTGCACAATCCCACACGTATGCATGGAACGGCACATGCGCCATAACACAAGGCTCTACAATGACGTGAACTGCCAAGACTCAAGAGGCACTGCATGGGTGAAGCAGGGATGAATGATGCTGCTGATGACCTTCACACTGTGTGACACTCCAAACTGGAAACAGGGGAGGGCACTCCTGGATCCGAGAGTGATTTCGCCGCCTGTACTGGGGGACATGTCCTGTGTAGTCACAAGATCCAGGGTGCCAGGGTGCCAGGGTGCCAGGGTGCCAGGGTGCCAGGGTGCCAGGGTGCCAGGGTGCCAGGAGGTCAAGCGTTGAATGATTCCCTGTACTAAGGACTTGTCAGTTTCGGGTCAGGTCAGGGTCGGCATCGAGTAGTTTACAGAGGCCTCCAACAGCACTATGTCAGTGTGTGATGTCTTTGACAAGCACCTGCAAATAAAATCCGTGATAGTCCTGTCATTCCCAGTGCAGGACTCCCTGGCTCCAGTGAGCAGTGGGCATGTGGCTGTCATCATGTGGCTCTCTAGCAAACCTGTACACTTGTTCAGCGCTGTCAATGCGGTACTGTACAGTGTACGTACAGCGCACGTAGATCTACGCGTGTCAATGCTGGCTGAGCCAGCCATCATCTGGTCATGATCCATAATCATGATCATATCACCGGTCAAATGCTTCGCATGCCAATGCCCGCGCGTGTCCTTTCACAAAATCATTTTTAAAATTTTCGTGTTCATGGCACGATTTCTGTTCGAGAACGTACGGTGCTGGAGACGATCCTGATGAGTGATGTCGCCCATCGACTCGATAGCTCCAGGCCAGGGTCGAATCGGTAGTAAGAGAAGCTCGCGCCACAACTGTAGAGGCTTCCTGGTTGCCCCGTTGGGGTTCATCAAAAGGTCGCTGTCAACCGTCGTGTCATCGACGTTAGACACGGGTGAATGGGCGTGCATGATCGCGCCAACGCGGGGAACACAATGCTATCGCCGAGTGCTGTGATACTACGGATGGAAGGTTCTACTCTTATCTGTCACTGTCAGCATGGCTGGAGATGGTATTTGACCCCGGGCATGCTCGGAGCAGGCGGACCTTGGCTTCAGCACATGTGCGACGCGTCCATTCATACAGCTACTGCCTTGCGAAAGCAACAACTACTCACAAACAAACCAAGCGGCCTTTCATTCTCGTTGAAGAAATTTCTCAGTCGTGAAACTGGTCTTTGGAAGGACAATAATTTGGCAGATAAATAATCCGTGTCACCAGGTCACTGTGGAACTCAAGAATTACTCCCAGGAACAGCCACCTCGTCGTGTAGAGAAAATAGTTTGCGCAAGAAGATTAATTGCTCATACGGTGTTTCCATCTCGACTAAACTTGCGTCAGTGGAATCATTTCTATCTACACGCCGGTAACACGGGCTGTCTAAAAGCAGTGAGTGAATATAACTGATAAGTGGCCAAGATTGAATCAATCAAGACAAGTGTACCCACACCACGTGTTCAGTTGGAGCGGTGGGTCACACGCTGAGCACTGTAAAAAACTGGGACAGCTGTGATCAGCTGCTTGCGACACCAAGATACTTCGTAACACCAAGCAAGTGTTGGATCGACTGATTCACTGAATGAAAGAGAGCAGAGTAGAGGCTGAGCCAGTAGGTCTAGTACTGGCAGTGGTAGCCCCAGACGATCTCACTCATCACACAGGTGACAGCACACACGCACCGACGTCCGTGTTACCATCCTCGCTTGGCTGCAGATATCGCAGCCGCGGTGGTCCTGCCTGTTTCGAAACACAGCAAACTGCTGGTGCGGCGGTGGTTGCATACTTGGCGACAGTGGAACGTGGTGACAGTCAGTGGACGTGGTGAACACACTTTCATTGTGATATTCGCACTGCTGTAGAAGCAAGCGATCAGTCGATCTGTTTTCTTCACCGAAGGCGAAGGCTGACATACCAGGGTCTCTCCTCGGCGAGTATAACCTTTCTGTTCTAGGCAAAGAGAGACGCAGTTCAATTTCAATCAATTTCCAATCAATCCCATTTTAGTTTTGCAACATTTGGGATTGTTTTTTTGCTGACTTTGGCCAGTTACGGTTGCGAAACTAACGATCAGCTAGCCAACTAGCCCCAGGAAGTACTTCCATCCGGGGAGCGGAAAGAGGTAGAAGGGGCAGACAACTGCAATGAACTAATCGTTATCTGAGCAGGTCGTGCAACAAACAATACATTAGCGTGCTGTGTAGATAAGATAGTCGTTGCCCAACAGCGCACTGGAACAATGGGAGCTTGCTGCTTCACAGCTGATCATCGCAGCGTGGTGTCGCGCGGTAGAGACAACGCGCCCGATGGAAAGTACAAGCGACTGGCAGAGCCCGCGTGCAGGACGGCCAGCGGCGAGAGCGTACTGGCGGAGGAATGGGACTCGCCCAAACCATCACCGTAAGTAGTAGATCTACTATACTGTCACTTGTAACTGTCCAATGTTCCTAATTGCAATATTGTGACCCTCGCGTGAAACTTTATTTAGAGATTGGGGACTTACATGAAGATAACAGGATACTCAGTATCTTATCCTGGGTCACAAACACTTTCACCCTTCGTCGAAAACACATTCATCTACAATTTCACAGTAGAGCGTATGCGATTACATCATCAGTTGACATGCGTTGACGTAATCGCGGCACAGCGATGCACTGGTGACTCCATAGCGACTCATGCAGTATACACAGCGCCCATAAACAGTTCCGCTCACTCGTGCAGTATACCCAGCACCCATAAACAGTTCCGCTCACTCGCCCGTAAACAGTTCCGCTCACTCGCGCTGTATACACAGCGCCCGTAAACAGTTCCGCTGTTTCACTCTGCATACACAGCGGCAGCAAGCGGTTCCGCTGACGTAATTCAGATAACCACTACAGGGAATCAGTGTGCACTCCAGACCCGGTTGGGGGGGGGGGGTACTTGGACCCGTTTGGAAAAAGAACACCGGGTCACTTGTGACTAGAATCAGTGTCTGCTCCAGAGCCGAGCCAGCAACCCGGTTTGGGTACAATACTGTTGGCAGCGGCGTCGGACGGTATTTTAGTGTGGTACGGTCAGCCATCTGAAGTACATTTCACTCGTGGGGGACATGTGGCTGAGCCGAAAATTTTGGAGATTAGATCCCAGATAAGTGTATTTTATAGATTCACAGGGTACCTGGGGAAAAAAAGTGGTACGGTCAATACCGTAGTAACCGTACCGTGTCCGACGCCCCTGTGTTGGGCGCCGAAGAACGGAGCGCCCGAGACCGACCAGGCTAGAATTTTCACCAAGCACAGGATACCAATGTATACACGGTGACTCAACTGTGCATAGACTGTAATGAATGAAAATAAGAACGGTCTAGGCTAGGTTGCTGACACCCCACCCCCACCCACCCAGTTCTTCGGCGATCGACAGTACTGAACTTTGATTCGTTTGGAAAAAAGAACACTGGGTCACCTGTAACCCGGTTGGGAATACAATATGCATCAGGGAGCAGGGGCGTCGGAAGGTGATTACGGTCAGCCATCTGAAATGCAATTTACTCGTGGGGGAGGGGTGGCTGAGCCGAAAATTTTGGAAATTTCGAGCCCAAATCAGTGCATTTTATTGAATAACAGGGTACCTAGGAGAAAGAGTGGTGCGGTCAATACGGTAGTGACCGTACTGTGTGCCACGCCCCTGGGGAGTACTAACATATTTACAACTGTGCCTGTATACTGCTTGTGGTGGTGTGTATCTGTTGCTCAGGGCGGAGTATCGAAAGCAGATCGCCAATTCTCAAGCCGCTCGCGTGACAGTAAGTTCAGACATTGCTTTTCGGAGAGGTGGCCGTTCCACGAATGCAGATGTGGCACATTCCGTAAAACTGCTCAGACATCCACTGGTCTTTTCTGCTCAAGTATCCGTTAGTCTTTCACTGCTCAGACATGTATTGGTCTTTGCCTGTTCAGGCATCCACTGGGCTTTGGCTGCAGAGGCATCCATTGGGTTTTGGCTGCCGAGGCATCCATTTGGCTTTGGCTGTTCAGACATCCATTGTTCTTGGGATTCTTAGCCCCACAGCTGTTTTATAGAGCGGTTGCACATCTATCTCATGACCATACAGGACGGCCATGTTGGTTTGGTTCCAACTCCACTCAACCCCTGCATGTATGGGTCACATGACGTCGGCCATGTTGGTTCCAACTCCACTCAACCCCTGCATGTATGGGTCACATGACGTCGGCCATGTTGGTTCCAACTCCACTCAACCCCCGCATCTATGGGTCACATGATGTCGACCATGTTGGTTCCACTGTCCACATGCCATGATGATCATGGTTGCATATTTATCACATGACCATAGAGGGCAGCCATGTTGGTCTGGTTCCAACTCCACTCAACCCCCGCATCTATGGGTCACATGATGTCGGCCATGTTGGTTCACATGCCATGATGATCATTTTATACACAAACTGTGTCACATGATGTTACGATCTTCAGCCACTGGCTATGCCACCCTGTGTTGTTCCACGGTGTGCTAGACAGGTGTAGTAGAAAGATAATGATGTGAACTGCATAGAGGTTAGCCAGGTGATCTCGGAGGTCATGGTTGTACACTCTTGTACACTCGTGTTTCTTATTTGGGCAATTTCCTTTCATACTCGCTGCCATCTCCTTTGTTCCATATACAATCTCTCAGTAATAGTTCTGTTGGCCTGGATATTCTCTGTTCAAGGGGCTGGGTGTGAGGTGATTCATAATTATATTGTACTTCAGGGGCGTACCTGGTCCCCGCTTAGGCTGGTGCACGGCAGCTGTGTCGTATGTGTAACGTAGGATGTCATCATAGTCATCTTGTGCATGCTGAACCCAGGTCGAAATTGTTAGGAGGGGGAGGGCACGTGCCCGGGGGGGGGGGGGGGTATGTGCCCCGGGAGGGGGCAAGTGCCCCCCCCCCCGTGCCCCATGCGGGAGCTACGTGCCTGTAGGTTATTCTTGCTGGGTTCATGATGTTAGTGTATTGCTGTTTCTTGATCTTCACTGCTGTGATTCAGAGACGTACGGACGACACTGGGCCCACGCTACTGGAGATGAGCGCGAAAGCACCTCGCGGCTTTGCGCCCTACAGACCTGAAGACGAGAAACGGGTACGGTCTACTGTGTGATTATTTCTTCTCTTCCACACTCGGTCACTGCAAAACCTAGCGTCTTCCTTGTCATGTGTCTCTGGTTCCCGTGGGTTTAGTCCTCGGTCCTCTCCTCCGTGTCGACATTGCGTAAGAAGGTTTATTTTCCCGTTTGAATCAACACTAAAGAAACACACCATCAACAGCAATAGTTTGCCAGGCTGTGCCAGTGCGAAATGTACCACACAGAATGGCGGAGCGTGAGAGGTTTGAGAGTAGGATATGTGGTAGGGAACAAGTTCCTTACAGCCAGGATCAGGTTTCAGGCAAGCAGAAGCATGCCAACGTAACATGCTGCTATTTGTAGAGCTATGTGCAGCAAAACCTCTGCATAACACCCAAAGGACGTCTCGTTAAGCTGGACAGGGAGCGCTTCTGACCGCCGGTATTTTGCAAGTAATAGAGTTGCAGCAGTGGTTTCCAGAAACAAGCTTTGGACCCTTCATGCTGGTCAGTGTTTCACGGCGGCTGTAACACTAGAGATTTGTCTGTTCCTTAGTGGGACATTGCACTGCACTTCTACAGTGTCGTACTGCGTCTGTTAAGTTGTGTTCACAAACAGACGTGTGCGTGGTGTGCTTGCTGTTCATGCCTGCCCAAACGTGAGTACAGGCTTTCATTAGAAGCAGCAAGTCAATTCGTATTTTAGGGTGTGCGACGCCTGCGAGGACTTATATGCTGGCCCCGCAAGTCAAAGTGACTGGAACACGCATAAGCCAGTACGTGTCTGATGTGCGCTGAACACATTGGAATTTCGATTTTGGCACGTTTCGATAGGTGTGACGCCCCGAAAGCCAGCCAAGATATGCACAAACACTTGGTTTTACACATACTTGTACTACACGTGTCAGTTGCGAACACAGCTTCAGACATTCACCTGAACAGGACAAGTCCTAGGGAGAAAACAAAGCAATATAGCACAAGCATGGTTTTTCTTTACAATGATCACAGCTCACAGGCAAAGACAACAAATTGCATAGTGGGAGCATAGTGGTGGTGAGGCTTTTTGCCCTCAGCCGACCTGAGGTATCGGCGTCATGGGGAAGAAGAAGAAAATATGAAGGTGTTGTTGCTGTGTTCTGGATACTCAATCACACTATCATACTGCAGGCAAATTTATCACGCAAAGGTGCAGTGAGAAAGCACGATGAGGAGCCGGCAACACCACCATCGCGTACACTCTCACGGCGAGAGATTCTGGCCAATCAATATCGTCTCGAAGCCGAGAAGGAGAAGAAAGCCAGCGACTTGGGATCTCGGAGTAGACATCCGGGGGACAGAAGCGACACCGACAGTGAATCAGGTACTGTGGTGAATACCAGCATGACTAGCTATTGTGCTATGACTGGTTATGGGGCTGTGACTGGTTATGGGGCTATGACTGGTTATGGGGCTGTGACTGGTTATGGGGCTGTGACTGGTTATGGGGCTGTGACTGGTTATGGGGCTATTACCCTTTATGGGGGCTATGACTGGTTATGGGGCTATGAATGGTTATGAGGCTATGACTAGTTATAGGGCTTTGGCTGGTTATGGGGTAGTTGATGGTTACGGGGCTATTATCCATTATGGGGCTATGGCTGGTTATGGTGCTGCGACCGGTAACTTTGCTGAGACTGGTCACGAGGCTGTGATGTTAGCCAGTGCAGGCTGTCGTAATAAAACGACTCATCCGTGTTCCATTCCCGTGCATGGTACATGCATGGTGCGACGGCACAATGACAGCTGTCGCAAATCACACTGAGTATTACACGTGTTTTTTGGTGATTCCTGGTTAGCTGCTAGCTTTTCCCTACTCGAAGATGTTGCTGCCGTGAAATCTGGGGGTTTGTGTTCGTCCTGGCGAAAACCGTGTTTTGATCCGTTGAGGGAGACGAGAGATACAGTGCGAAGACGTACGATCTGTCCGAGAATCGGCGAAGAAGAAAGCTTCACAGACGACCCGTAGTGGTTGGGAACAGAATGGAACATATACCAGTCGATGCCTGTCATGGTAGGGATGACTGCTACGAAGTTTTAGCCCCATGCTCCCCAGCGCTTTTTAGCGCCCGACGATAATTACCAAATTTCATCGATTTTCCATGTGGATCAAAGCATAGTCTCCTCAATCTTCTCCAGTCGAGCTGAGTCTGGACGCTACAATGTCGAGACGTGAAAAGAGAACATGCATGAACACATAGGAGCATCACATGCAGCTGCATTCTGCCTTGACGAAGCTGAGAACAACACCAGCACCACGCATTTGGAAGACATTTCGAAGAAGACGAAGAACTACATATCTGCGTTCAAAAAAGCCTCTGTATACTGTGCATGCAGTATGCATGCGTGCATGCGCGAAGCACGGGGTCCGCGGATCAGCTTCGTTCAAAAATCATTGTGCCACACGGGTTGTATGATTTGTGTGCGATCATGGTCTTTCTTCTTGACAAACAAAAGTGAAGTTTTTCGATCTTCAAATCGCCATAGCGTCCTTGTCATGACTCCAAATCAGCTGAAACTTTGCAGGAGGAATGAAAATGCCATGCTGAATCGATTGGTACCATTTTCGAAGGGTTTCCTTGAAAAATAAAAATTAGCCTGCACTGGCTAGTGATGTTGTACATGGTATTGGCTGATGTAGACCACGCTCAGTTGTAACTGCACATCGGACGAGCAGCCGCTGGATGACTTAGGGGTGGCGAACATGATACATGTGCAAAGATTTCGGAATGCGTACAAGCGTACTTCACATAGCTCAACTGAAGAGTTTTGGTTTGTTAGTGGATCGACTGCTGTGTTTGTGCACACGGAGCGTTGATGCATTGACTACTGTGTTTGTGGCAATGGAGTTTTTAAATGTATCAACTCCTGCGTTTGTGTTCACTCGTAGGTGGTCAGGATGTTCCCGATGGGGGCATCAGAGACACGAACGTCAATGATTTGGCGAGAGGACAAGATCCACAGTCCCAGTCGAACGTTCTAGTCGACATTGACCCGTCATCGCCATCTGCACATCCATCCACCAATGGGACATCGCCGCATGATGCGTCTACAACGAATGAAGCACATGGCTTCCGCTCGGTTGCTTCATCGGGCCGCGGCTCCCTAACATCAGCATCTCCAGACGCCGATAACCAGGTGGAGAGAACAGGCCACGGAGCAACAGATGGTGAAGCACCGTCATCGGACGTTCATGGCGAGGATTCGCCTGCGCATGTCGCAAACGGATCAGCCAACGGTACAGTCACAACACGAGATAACAGAGCCGACTCTCGGACTAGCTCTGGCAGTAGCGAAATGTCCGATAAGTCCGGCCATAAAGTTCTATCTCGGATTAGCGTTGGCAGCCTCGAAACGTCCGGTGAGTCCAACCATAAAGTTCTTCCTCCTCCCTCCACCTGTCTAAGTTGGCTGCCGATATACATGCTGCCATTGCATGCACAGTGCTATGTTACACGGAGTCTGGCAACTTGTTTGCGCCGTGATTAGTGACTCTTTCACTGTCTTCGCCTCTCTGTTCTTACTCTTTCTGCCTTCTTTGTATTTGTATTTCTTGTTGTCTATTCTGCTTGTTTGTATGTCTGGGTGCGCATTAATGTCTGTGTGTTCCTGTTTGCGAATTTTCGTCTGTTCGTTGTGTATCTGTCTGTTTTTGTATTCATATGTATTTGTTGTTGTCGGTCCATTTGCAGGTGTCTGTTTTTCCTTTTGTTTGTCATGTATTTTCTTACGTGTCCGTCCATGTGTATGTCCATCCGTTCACCTGCCTGTCTGTCTTCATTCTTGTCTGTGCATTGTTTACATGTTTCTGTTTGTCTTTAACCATTTGTATATCTGTCTGTCTGTCTGTCTATCGACTTACGTGTCTGTCTGTTCGTATGTCCATCCATTCACCTGTCTGTCTCCACTCACAGACCCGTCGGCCCTACCGTACTTTGCCACGAGCAGCGTGCCTGCGAGCGGCTTCACACCACCCATGCCGCGTATACAAGTTCCCGGTAAGTACATTACCCCCCCCCCCCCCCATTCGGGCCCCCTGATCCGGACACTCTATTCCCCCGTAATCCGGGAACGTCCGTCTACCGAGCGCTTTTCTGACCCATGTACATGTAGACTAAAAACATTGGCTTTTCAACGAAAAACGATCCCGAAAGCTATTTAAATAAGTGTCGAGGCTACAATAGTTTTAGAATGGCGATCAACAGAACGAGGTGAACGGACATTTGGATACAGTAAAGCCTTTGTGAAATGTCGGTTCAGCTCGTTCTGTTGTTCGCAATTCCAAAAACTATTGATTGGCATAAACAGTGTTTACTTGCATGTAGTAAGTATGTACACTCGGACGTCTCTTATCCGGGCACCTTTGGACCGGGCACTGCCCGTATCTCAGATTTGCCCGTATCTCAGAATAACTCATCTACCATGTATCATAATCACTTTTTGAAGAAGTTTATTTGGAACGTATTGCACATGTTCAGGATAAAAAAGGAACCCATTGGTAAAAATGTGTGGATTACATAGGTTGGCAGTGAAAAATAAGCACTTCCGAATACGGAAAAAGTTCAAAACCCCCTAATTCGAAGCATTTTTGCCATAGGAACTCAAGCTAAAGGTGCCCGGTAGAGAGACGTGCCCGTATCTGAGGCGTCCGGATAAGAGGCGTTTGAGTGTACGGGCAATTCCTAGTGGCGGGCAATGCTCGGTCCCAACCTGCCTGGATTAGAGGAGTTTTACTGTAGAGGGGCTTATCATTTTCACAGTAGCTGTTGTATTGGTATATGGGCAAGCTAAAACATGGCTTTGGGGTTCCGTTATTTGCTTGAGACATGACGGCCCAAAATGAAGAGTTGTTTCTGTCGAGCACGTTTGTGCTGTGCTTCATTCATCAATCGGTGGCGTGTGCATCTTGTCGAACTTCGTTCTCACACTTATTTGGCGGTCTAGTCCAAACCGCTGGCGAGCAACCTGACATTTTTCTGGAATACATATTTTCACTCTAAGACATGTTTTAGCTGGCTGTGGCCCATATGCTGAGCTCAGACAACCGGGTAGCTCTGATATATTGGATGCTGAACACTATTCCGATGGTATTGGTCCAGGGAATTTGTTATCGCTGACTTCAAGTTTTAGCCACTTCGCTCCGCCCTATTCTAATTCCGATGACATTCCGTCGATGACTTCAAACAGCCATAATTCAGTCGAATATCGGATCTATTTATTTCTATTCACGAAGATTTTGTAGACGAGAGACCGTTTTTGGGTAGTGGTGTATGATGGTGAGACATATTGCACTATCGTGAAAATCGAAGTATTTTGGTTGTCGCCGAATTCCAGAAACCTCCGCTTTAGGAAAGTGATGCCCTTCAACAATGCCATGGTGCTGTTGGAATCCCATGGGAGAGATTGCTCTATTTTGAAAGCTGTGGCCGAGAGATCAATGCAGCTGCTGTGTAGTGTGCTATGCAAGACAATTTGATTACGATAAGAAGGGATATAATGATAACGAACCATCGTTGCTGGTGCTCTTGGCCCCGTGGTGTGGTGTGTGTACGTGTTTGTGTGTAAATGTATGTGTGTGTGTATGTGCGTGCGTGCGTGCGTGTGTGTGCGTGTTGATGTGTTGCCTTTTCTGTAGATGCGACCTCATTGTCCTCCACGGGACGAGATTCGCCTGCCCCTGTTGGGGACTTGAAGTCGCTGAAAGAGTACGTAACAAACACAGCTTCACACTATAAGGATCAGCACAGTAAGAATAGAGAACTGTCGGGCGCCGAAGAACGGAGCGCCGAAGAACGGAGCGCCGAAGAACGGCCAGGCTAGAATTTTATCAAGCACCGCATACCAATGTTTACACTGTGATTCACTTGTGCATAGACTGCAATACATGAAAATAGGAACGGCCTAGGCTAGGAGGCTGCCCCCCCCCCCCCCCAGTTCTTCGGCGACCGACAGTACTGCAGACACAAATAGACACGGTTTAGGGTTTAGACGCACAATGCAACACAATTCAATGGTGGATTAGAGAAATGGAGGTTTTGATTACAGTTTGGTGAAAGGATCAAGGGATACCTTGCAGCGAATTTCATATTTGAATTCTGACTAGAACCAATTCCAAATTTAAAAAAAATTTCACGGTTCGCGTGAGACTCGGCCAAAGGCCCAGTTTTCCGCATCCGCAGGAACGCCACCACCCTCTTGGATCAAGGCGCAGATGCAGCTCCTAAGCGGTGGGAGGTGAGTAGATCAGACCCACCACAAAGTGGTCAGACCGAAATCCCATTCACTGCAACCAATTCCAAACCGTTACCCAAATAATATGGATGTAGATCAAACCACACATAAAAGGTATCCATTGTTGGCCAATATCCGAAAAGCAGTGAAATGGATACACCACATTTTTGAATAAAAACTGTTCACCTGCTTTTGGAGATAAGTCATCTTGCTTATCTGTTTGTGATTCAACTGCCTGCTCTCAATGCTCTTATCTCACTGAAACACAAAGCAAAGTGCCATCATCTGCGTGCCTGATGATTGGCCGTGTGGCAAGGAAACTCGGGGCAACAGCAGAACAAAGTTTCCTGTAGTTGTCAACTTGTATCTGACATAAAGATTTGCCTGCTGTTTTGTATTGGATGGTTGATTTGGGATGGTTATCAAACAGAGTGATTGTGTCATGCGTGTGTTTGTTGGCAGGCACGAGGAGGCGGTGAGTTTCTTGGCGGAGCTTGGCTACGGACCAGGACAAGTCATAGAGCGGCAAATGTTTGGTGAGTAACTGGAGAAGTTTTATGCTTTGAATGAGAAGCAAATAAACAATAACAGATCAAGGCATTCTTGCATCGCTGAGTGTCATGCATCAGGGGCGTCGCTGGTCCCCCTTTGGGGGGGGGGGGGGCAAGGCAGCATATGTGTGGGATGGCTGGTGCATGTCATTCATTGTCATTATGTGCATCCTGAACTTAAGGTAAAACAATTTTGGAGCCCCCCCCCCCGTGCCCCATGCGAGCTACGCGACACGTGCCTGTGCATGGTTGCCAATGATCAGGCAAGTATGAAACTCAGAGTTGCGAGATTGCCATGATCCATTGTTGTTTGTTTTATTGTGTTGCTCCGGCTCTGACCCCGTGGCTTATTGAGCTCTCTGTGCATACGTGCCCCCCCCCCCCCACCCTCTTATGCATTGAGTGTGTTACAAGCTATGGGTAAAGTTGGCCCATAGTCCACTCTGACCGTAGGGGCAAGAAGTGTCGGGGACATCCTCTTGCCATAAGCTCGACGTAGTGAGGGTGGTGCTCGTCTTCTCTCCCTCGTCGCCTTTGCGCCCCAACCAAGTCGGACGTGTGTGTGTGTGTGTGTGTGTGTGTGTGTGTGTGTGTGTGCGCATGCGTGTGTGCCTACATACTTGCATGAATGCCTTATCTGTACCTGACAGACCACACCAGTATAGGAGAGGTGGAGCTGAAACTAGAAGTGACGTACTCCGCAGTCAACATTGAGATTGTGCAGCTGAACGATCTGAAGCTGATGTCATTGCCACGCACTACTGGTAAGACGGGTGTGTGTGTGTGTGTGTGTGGCGGGGGGGGGGGGGGGGGGTATGTGTGTGTGTGCGTGTGTGTGTGTGTGTTGTATTTGTATGGTGTGTATCAGGCCTTCCGGAACCGGTCCGGTTGGTAAGGGTACTGCCGGACCAACGTTTCAGCCACCAACACAATCATGTTTCCTACTGTGGAGGGTATTATGTACCTGCCATACCATACACAACGTATGAAAGGCGATGATAATACCGGACCAATCAAAGACTCCTTCCGGTGGTCCTGTAGTATCATGTGTGTGCATATAAGTTCATATGTGTGTGCCTGTGTGTCAGCCTATCCGTCTGTCAGTCCATCTATCCGTCCGCTTTTTTGTCTGTCGGTTTGCCTGTCCAACCGACCATTTGTCTGTCCAACTCTCCGTCCGTCCGTCCGTCTGTTCAAAGCGAGTGCCTTATCATGTCCCTTTCTCCCTCTCTCATAACAGCCACCTTCACTACCTTTCCCCAGGAGACTCCCTTTGATAGGCATCCATTTTGGCTCTGGAGAATCCTTGAAATATATGATATCAATATAATACCAAATCTAATCATATGCGTACCTATGTTCCATACCTCAGTGTATGTTGGCTTGTTACCTGTATGCTCCTTGTTGCGATGTCCCTGTCCTGCCCTCTCCAGAGCTCTACATCAAGTGCTATCTACAAAAAGGACTCGCCGAGACTTCCAAACATACGAAGAAGCGCACAAAAGCCGTCAATGTCTCCGAGAACATGATCTTCGACGAAACACTCCATTTCTCAATGTCACCCGGAATGGATGTTGTGAAGGTACGACTTAACTGGCTTGTTTCCGCCTGCTGATTTGATGGTGTAACGCTCTGTAAAGATGTGTTGGATTGGTCTGCACTTTGGTTGCGATCATGTGATTCTTGCTGTGAGAGTGGCGCGGGAATCATAGCTGGATGGTGTGAGTGATATCCGCCGCGTGTTAGGTACGGCGATGAAAACGGTAAAAGGTGATCACTGCTGTGAAGTAGAGTAAAGCCTGTGACTAAAGACCACCGTGACTAGCGGCCAGCCGGGTACTGAAGAATACTTCGCCAGGCACGGACGGTCTGACATTCATATTATGGTTGTGCTGTGCAAACCTCTAACTAAGGACCACCTGCCACTAAAGACCGCTGTCTCTGGCCCCAAGGGCAAGGAGTGGTCGTTAGTCACATGTATTACTGTACACTGGAAGATTGAGTGTAGTGTGTGGAGAGAGTGTGTGAAGATGGCTGGATGATTTCACTCTCTGACAACACAGTAAGGTTCTAGCAAGGAAAGAACTCATGGGGGGGGGGGGGGGAGGGAGAGAGGAGGAGGGACAGGCAGTTTACCCACCTTTCCAGTATCCTCTAAGCTGGGTACAAATCTATTTCATTCCTTGGTGCTGACCGCTGTAATGCGCTTCCCGAATCCCATCGCACTTATCATATCCCCAACTCATTTTTCCAGGAACTTAGTGCATTCGGTCATCTTGGGCAACCTGTAAGAAGACCTTAGGGTCTGTTGGGAATGCCCAAATAAAATATTAAATAATACGATATAATACAATACAAAATCCAAATTGCCTTGTCACACAAAAATGCTACACGAATCAAACATACTCCCCTTTGGCTAAAGGTGGGTTGAAAACTCTACTCTATCACTGCATGGTGGTACAAGTCACTCATCGACTTCAGTACAGTGAAACCTGTAACTAACGACCACCCCTTGGTGCCCGGAAAAGTGGTCGTTGGTGGCAGGTGGTCTTTAGTTAGAGGTTTGCACCGCGCGACCATATATGGATCCCATTATATGATATGTATGTCAAAATGCAGATAATACAATCCCCCACCACTTGCGCACTGACATTCTTCTTTCAGATCATACAACACTTGGAGAGAGACAAAATCAAGTTTTTTATACACCGAAAGCGATACGACCTTTTGACACGTATGTCGACTCACTGGTGACTGGGTTTCCAGAGCAGCGCTGGCCTGGCCAGGCAGTGCACTAGTCACTATCGACTCCATCCTCATCTGTGTGCGACTACACTGGCAACTGGTATCAGTGTGTTGATCTGCAGTGGAAACTCAGTCGCTCCGACTTGGATGTAGTGTAGCGTAAACTGTACTAGTGAGTAGTGTGTACCAGTACTTGATGCGGCGATGTTGGGAGTTTTCGCACCTTTCACTGTAGACTATTATCCGCCATCGTATCCTGGCCTGTGTTCCGTACAGCTGAGTACATAATACCGTAGCATGCTAGCTAGCCAGCACAGACTGTCAGTGTGACCTGGTGTAGTGGTGAGTCTGGTGACTGAGCTGTGTGATTGCACTTCGACAGAGAGCCGCTCAGTCTTAGTTTCTCCTTTGAGTAGTAACATTGATCAAAGAGCGCTTTGGATGCGCTCTCCAAGACGTTTCCTATCTTGTTTGTTCTTGACAGCACTTGAAATTATGACAGGTGTAGTGCAATCCACACTGATTCCACAGTAAAAATGAGACTGCGCTCATTTGTCCAGCTGTAGTATCGAAACGACCATGGAAAATCATCAAAATTTCGAGAAGGAGCTTCAAGCAATGTTTGATTTGCTACATCGCGGTCGCTAGTTACGGGTCAAAATTCGACATTGGGACAAGAAAAGGCGGTCGCTGGTCGCGTTCAGCAGGTAGTCGCTAGTCACAGTGCATTTTGAATGTGAGACCGTCCGTGCCTGACAAAGTGGTCGGTAGTACCAGGCCGGTCGCTAGTCACGGTGGTCTTTAGTTACAGGTTTTACTGTACTTGAACATGTATCTCACACTTACTCTCTCTTTCTCTCTCTCTCTCTCTCTCTCTCTCTCTCTCTCTCTCTCTCTCTCTCTCTCTCTCTCTCTCTCTCTCTCGCATTCTTCTGTTTTCTCTCTCTCTCTCTCTCTCTCTCTCTCTCTCTCTCTCTCTCTCTCTCTCTCTCTCTCTCTCTCTCTCTCTCTCTCTCCGGCATGCTGTTATACGTGCGCAGGTGATGTTGTGGGAGGAGAAGCTAGGACGTAACCCCATGTATGGCATGGCTACCATCCAGCTCAGTCATCTCGACGGCAATGACGGACACAGCCAGACGACGAAGAACATGGTGAGCTATCGCAACAAGAAAGTACGCGCCGAGGGCAAGTACACGCTGTTCGGAGCGAAGGAGGACGGAAAGCTGGGAGTGCAGGGACTCAAGGTGTCCACCTCCACCGGTAGCTTGGTGTCCGTACGCGCCTCCACGCCCAATCTGGGAAAGCTGCGGCCGTTCCGTCACAGTAGGAAGTGATCGAGTGAGCCGGAGAGCATTGCTAAGAGAGTGTGCTCCACCAGTGCAGCTGGACCAGTGGTATAACAGCAGCCCACGGTGCTAAGACTTGGAGCGTACCAACATTACACTGGAAGCGAACGTGAAACAAGACAGAAGCAAGACACGCGTCAGGCTCTTCACCGACATCTTGAAGTGTGTCCTCGTTCTTAGTATCATCACGTTCTTGTCTCCGAAGAAAACTGGAAACAAGACGGTGTTTTCGTTTTGCTTGATAGTCTTTCGATGATAGCGAGGCTCTGATGATGGTCTCATTGCCAGTTCAGTCATCGTTGAGCAGTGCCGAGTGTCCAGCTGTTGTTGAGCAGAATCTGAGCAGCACGGCGCCGAGGCTGTGAGGCAACTGAGCAGCCTTGTGGAGGAATCTCTATTCAGGTTAGCTCTAGTGTGCATGCACAGTTCTACGAGTGGCATTCGATCATGCTACAGAAATCAATACGAATCAATCTTCTCCACAGACAGCGATCCGTATGTGAGATAAGGAGCATTCGCTGGGGTGACTTCACTGTGCTCTGAAATTGAAATTGCCTAGTCCACTAGTATTACCAGGATGTAATACTTGAAGTTTTTCTCTACGGCACCAGTGTGCTCATAGTCAAGCCACTCAGAGTTCACCGCTTTGTTTATCCTTCCTTGTACGCACGCACGCACGCACACACACACACACACACACACACACACACACACACACACACACACACACACACACACACCCACACACACACACACACACACACACACACTCACACATACACACACACATGCGCACACACGCGCACACACACACACGTACACACACACGTACACACACACACACCTCACACACACACACGCACACACACACACACACACACACACACACACACACACGTGCACACTCACACGCACATACTCTTTGTGTTTCGGCCAAATTTCATTTGTTCCACTAGACCAGTGAACGTGGCCAAATTCTCATGCACCTTTTGACTAGTGTTTGAATTCGGGTTCTAGCGTTGCACCCACCTTGGTTTTTACTGTTTCCAAGCTCTGACTGTGGCCGTGTAAATGGTGAAAATCAAACTCATCTTTTGCACCTGCTGTTGATTTTGCTTGTCTTTATTCTTAGGAGCCGTGTACATAGTTAGCCTTTTTTCCAGTAATCATCCTTGGCTCTCCATCCCGGAGTCGAATCCTTTCTCTTAACCTTGATGATCTTCTACTCAGAGCCTTTTTACGTGTTATTCATCTCATCATAATTATATCCGTTGATCCCCGAGCTGCAGAGTGTGCTCAATGTCAGACACAGAGCTTACAGCATAGCAGACTCAGCGGAGGACGTTCAGGTTGGTTGTAGCTGACACTCAGATTTTTTTCTTTTTTCTACAAAATCCGCATATCTCCAGACACTGGGCTGAATAATGGTGTGTTGTGGTGGGGCCCAGTAAGCTCATAACCTGAACGTTCTCCGCTGAGTCTGATAAGAATCTCATTATCTATATTGGCGGTTTGGGATGGATTTGTGTGACCGTTAGTACCCTTGAAGATTTGCTCTCTGCCTCGAGCCGTATTGGTTATCTGACAATCTCTTTGCATATTTACAAAGTGTCTGGAGTTTTTGCTGCAAATTGTGCTCAATACCTCAAAAAGGGCAGAGCTTACCACACAGGGCAGAACAACAGAGACCAAAAATCTTTCTCGTAACTCCGAGTTTGAAACACGAAACTCGGAGTTACAAGAAAGATGTTTGGTCTCTGTTGTTCTGCCTCGTCTTTGCATATTTATGTACATGTTTGGTGCTAAACCTGGACTTGGTGGATGGAAGTGTTGGCAGTTAAATACAGAAAATACATGTAGGTGCGAAAACGAAATAGAGATCAATACAAAGCAACTAGAATAGCACCAGTGAGATGAGCAAGGATGCGAGAAGCACAACAGTGGCGAGCGAACATCACAGTCACCATGGCATGGGACAAAAGTGCCAAACATTTTAAAAATAAAGAGGTTTGCAAAGGGCGGATTTTACCTCAGAGTACTCATGCATGGCACTAGGATTAGGAAATAAAAAAAAATAAAAAAAGGAAAAGTACATGACTGTACTAAACAAACTCATCACATGCGTGCATGATAGGGCTTGAAAGTGATGACGTCAAAAACGGCCAGGAAGTAGTAATTTGACATCAGATTTCTATTTTGGATCCACTGAGGTGTGACTTTGCTATTGCCTCAGTATGTGGGTGCAGTGCAACTCACTCATGAGTCATGTCGTATGCAAGGGTGACTTTTACTTCGCCACCACTGGCACCAGTTGTAACCCCGCCGCCCCAGTAGCCAAATCAGTCCGTTTTACTGGTTACATCACCTCCTTGTTGTGAGTAAGACGGCTTGAAATGTGCTTGGATCCATACAAAAATTTGAATTTTTGAAATTTTTGAAATTGTTGCTATGCTGTGACGTAGCACTTTCAAACCCTATTGTGTACACCATGTACACGGACCGGACCGACGTACATGTACATGGAATGATGGATAGCAGTCATGCGGAAGCGATCAGCCGATCACTCGAAGGGCCATTAATGCATTATCATGCTATGTCACACAGCGCACATCTGTCATCACCGTGCATTTGTCAGTGCAGTTTACAGTTTTCGTTCTAGACTGAAGTGAAAAGGATACAGCACGAAAAAGCAGAAACCAGTGCATGCAGTGCAAAAATGAAAAGAAGCCAAAATCGAGCACGAGGGGACCGGATCGACCCGACATGGACATGACGACACTGCACTGGTACTTGCACTCTACTCTTTACTACTACAAGTACAATCATGTATACTGTAGAGGCAGAAAATTTCGTCCGTCAATAATTTCGTCCAACTCCAAAGAAAAGGAGTTCGTCCGGTTGAAAATTTCGTCCTAAGAGTGTACATAGAAAATATACAAATTTTGACTACCGGTAGTTCGACATAGAAAATTCTACATGAAGTACAATGTATACAATATAAAGAAAAGCTGGGCAAAACGACATTATTCATTAGTCACACATTTAATTTAGTCCAAAAGCTCCTTTTAAGGCCTTGGACGAAAAAGACGAAATTACCGTATTTTCCCCATTAAATGTACAGTACCTTTATTTTTTCAAAGGTGGTCAGACCTGTACTACTATAGGAGACTGTACTAGTATTGGAGACGTGTACTTTTATTGTTTCTGGAAAGATTGATTGCCTGGGTTGGGTGGCAAACAACTCGTGATAATTACATGTAGGCCTTGAAAGATTATGCTAGCATAATCTTTCGCATAATTCCTACCAAAATCGAATAATCGCATAATTCGAGGCAAATTGCATACGAATCGCATAAAATTGAAATAATCCGCCTGTTCGCATCAAATTCCAATAATATTCCATACAGTTGTACATGTTCTACAAGTACAAATACAAGTACAGTAAGATCGGGCGCCGAAGAACGCAGGGGCTCGAGCGCAGCCTAGGAAAGTTCTTAAATTTTTCATTCTAGCCAGACCGTTCTTATTCACACGCGCGCGGCGAGTCGAGTGACGTCATGACGTTTGTCATGTACATGTAGTGCAATGTGATACTTCTAAACTAGTGGGTGTCGTAAATGGGAATGACTGTACATGTAGCAGTTACTGTTTACACGTGTACATGACATGTACTCACCTCCCATACATGTACAATGTAGATCTACGTGTAAATTCGCAACTTCGTGTAAGTACATGTATGACAACGTACATGTATGACTATTATTATTATTATGTACAGGTGTTGTGGCGAGCTCAAAGCCGATCAGTTAAATACTGCACTCATGTGGAAATTCCAAATTTTAAAAGTGTTCTTAAATCTGATAATTCTAGCCTGGACTGTTCTTAAATTTTGCCGGTTTTCCAGCCTGGGTGTTCTTCGGCGAGGTGTTCTTCGGCGCCCGATCTTACTGTAGATGCACCAGGAAGTCGTAGGTTTACGACTCCCTTGATAATATGTCCAGTCCACTACAATCAGTGACGGTCGTAGCCAGGTCGGACGGTGCGTTGACCCCGTTGAAACTTTGCTACTACAGTACAACGCTCTCTATAAAAAAATTCCCCTGTTATTTTGCACAGAACCATTATACATTAGCAGCATATGTGAGCATAATGCGGCATAATATGATAACTTTTGGCATAAAAAATAGCATAATTCTGCAATTTTTTCAGCAATGCGAAAAGCATAATTTCACGAAAATATTAGCATAATCTGTCAAGGCCTAGTGATAATGATGCTGTAAGGCTGTAACTTCCTGTAAGTACATCCAGCCATGGTAAGAATCAGTGTACAAAGACACAAAGATGATGAATGGGTAAGAAGACCGAAGTAATGTGGACCCTTGGTACCTGTACCCCAGTAATACCCATCACATCATTCCGGCAGGTACTCTTATTAGAGACGTGTCCTTTTATATTTTTGATCCACACTCAACATGTACATGTACAATTGGAGACGTTCTAGTATTGGAGACGTGTACGTTTAATGGGGAAAATACGGTAAATTCCAGACGAATATTTCTGGTACACAGTAAGCATGGTAACTAACTTGGTAAGTAAGTAAGTTCTATCATCGTGATGACTGTACTATCATGACCAGCTGTACAGACAGTACATTGTACATGTAGTGTGATGTACTGTCTGTACAGCTGGCTGTACCGCGAAAAGGCAGGCGCACACCGGTCCCGACTGCACTGGGCATGGGATAGCACGCCGCCGCGGCCATGCCCGTGCCATGTGAGCACACACACAGCTACAAGTACAAGTAGTTGTGAGAGTGCTAGTACATGTGTGCCAGTACTACTGGCAGTACAAAATCATGTAGGCCCAGTAGATCTACGTACTCAGGCAGTAGATCTACTACAGACTCAGTGACCTGGTGACAGACTGACAGACTGCCAGAGCGGTGTTATGTGTGTAGTTGTAGAGGATCTGGCACACATGTACGCTGGCACATGCCTGACTGGCTCACTTGGCGTGCCTGTGGATAGAGCCACGCTGTGTGAGTGTGGATAGGGTGGCGCATGGCGTAGATCTACAGTCAGGCATGATGTATGTACCTACCTAGGTGTGATGTTTGTTCGAAGGAAACATCACACACTGCGCAGAAAACGGCCAAAAATCGAGAAGAAACTATTTCGGCCGTTTGGGTCTAGCCGACCTGTTTACCGCCATTCTCCTATTTTCTCGATGCTGTTCGTTTCAGCAGACTAGGTCCTAGTGCCAGTTGTGGTTTTGTAGCGTAGCACACCATCATAGGTTGGATCTCTGAACTTGGAGGGCGCTAAATGCTCCACAGCCCCAACTTGGCCCAAGTGGGCAACACAGATTGGAGAAAGGTCCTGGGCGCTAGATAAACGTTTACCTCCTGGGACGGTCCCTAGTGTTCGGGCGTAGCTAGGTGCGTTTGTTAGCTGTCGAAGGGAGATCGCTGGCCGGTGCCAGTTTGTGGGGTTAGCATGGCTGCGCCTACGGACGGAGCAGAAAGCTGGGAGGCGGTCGGCGCGGTCAATTCGCACATGTACGCAGCAGGCAGCTCGGGAGGCAGCCACCCGCTGAATCGCTCGGTCAGCGGCACGCCAGGTGCGCCGACGGACGCATCTAGCGGACACAGCGGCCACAGCGGACATGGCGCGGACGAGCCGCACATAGTCCGATCGACGTCGCTGTCGGAGCTCCTTCCGCGGGTGGACGGGCAGCATAGAGTCAGAAGTGTAAGCACAATTTTTATGTCGATTTCTGAAAAAGCAAAGCCATGAACAAAGTATTCTTTGGTTTGAGGGAAAGATCCATGAAAAAGATGTAATAATTCTAACCGAATTGTAACCCCAATTGCCCTCAATTCATGCATTATGAGCTTGTACCACCCACGACCACGGTTTCATGTAAAAAAAACCAAAAACCCAGCATAGATAGATTGGCTTCGCGCTAAAAATATTGAGTGCTTATTTTTTATATCCTGAACACGCATTACTTGTGAGTATTTTCACGGGACCAACGTTTGGCGAATACCTGGCAGATGACGGTGTGGAGCCCAATGGACCACTCACTTGTGATCATGACGTGTGTATATGAGGTGCGCGAAGAATTTGAAGTCAATGATATTGTGATTTCCAGTGTAAAACAAACGTGAACAACACTATGCAGCATTCAGCTATTTGCATTCATCGTCGAGCAATACCAAAAAGACCTATTGCTGTATTTTCCGAAGTACAAGCCGCATTTCGAACACCAGTAATTCACCCCCTATAAAGTCGGCGCCGACTTATACTACGCTGGTCAAATTAATGTTGATAAACAGGGTAGACGTCGGTGTTTTGTGACAAACAATCTGGGTGCGGCTTTTACTGCAGTGCTGTTGGACAACAGTTTGATCGCTCACACGCGGATATGAAACTGATTTGTTCCATATTCGCCGTTGGACCGCTACATACCAGCATAGTGGAGAGACTTCCCACATTTTACGGGCTCAAACCTCCTTTCTCCGTCTGCCACAATTAGAGTAACTTAGCTTAGTGGTGGCCAGCGGCTAAATCGATGGCTCTAGCTGACAGTAATAGGTTGAACACTTCAGGTGACACCGCAGAACCACCAGAAGCAGTTTTTCATTGGTCTGGCCATACCAGAGCAGTTTTATACGCGTTTGTGTATGACGAAACAGTTCTGTCCTCAGATAGAGTACTTTGTGTATGATATAGTGGGTACACATACACTTGACCTCCTCCTCTGTAAACATGCATTGATGGTGGGCGACAAGTTGGTCCGGTGATGACGTGACAATCGGACTGGTTCCGGCTGGCCGGCCTGCACCAACGCTAAGCTGTACTTTCCTGGGTCTGTCCCTCGTGCTCATGGTGGCTACAGCTGCTGCGGTGAAGGTGCTTATCACCATGTCTAATGTCACTAGCACTGATCACCGCTGTTGTACTGGAGGCGGTACATTTGCATGGCAGGGTTCTAGCCAGGTAGAAATAGTAGGCAGGCGGGCATGGGAAACAGCTACACCGGGCCGTAACCCATTTTTTCCATTTCCCGAAACTGTCTTGCCATGCCAAATGCAACGCACAGGGCGAACCCCCGACTTCACTCCAGACAAATGTGCCATTTTGAACCCTCCAGTAGTGGCTATCGACTGAATTTTCGTTGAATAGCATGAAAAAACACAAAAATTGACAAACGAGTAGGGGTGCGGCACTTTTTCGCAGGGGGGGGGGGGCTCCCCCCCCCCCCACCTTTGGCTAGAACACTGCATGGTAGTTACAGGTGCACATTTCACACTGAGCATGAGTTAGAGCATGAGTTAGAGCATGAGTTAGAGCATGAGTTAGAGGATGAGTTAGAGCATGAGTTAGAGGATGAGTTAGAGCATGAGTTAGAGCATGAGTTAGAGCATGAGTTAGAGCATGAGTTAGAGAATGAGTTAGAGCATGAGTTAGAGCATGAGTTAGAGGATACCGTTTAAAATGGCGATAGGTACAACCCTAATCTGGCACACTTTGTTTTGCTGGAAACAATCTTCTTGAGTATCAGGCTGATTCACCATACGGAGGCTGATGATTGCTGAGAGAGAGAGAGAGAGAGAGAGAGAGAGAGAGAGAGAGAGAGAGAGAGAGAGAGAGAGAGAGAGAGAATGTGTGTCTGTGCTGCTGGGGGCTGACATGCCAGTGAATCGCTTGCAGCCCGGAGAGCGCGTGGAGTTGGGTGCATGTTGCCAGCGATTTTCACGCTCACAAAGAGCAGCAGTGATATCTTCCACCACTCTTCTACACCGGATGGATAACAAGATCTGTTCGAGCGCTTCCTGTAGATCCTGTTCAGATATAATTAATGGGCTTTGTCGATGTGCTTATTGCAGCATTTGTTCTGGAAGGATAGCAATTTACAATATTTTTTTAATTTTGGCTAGATAACTGTGTTGGTACATAAGAAATGAAACAGAGATGTTCCTGGTGCTTCAAAACGCTAAAACTAGAATTCCCTTTGCTCGTTGATGCTGTTGCTGTTGTTTTTGTGTAGGTTGCTGCTGCGACGGATGCCCGATCCGTACCGGGCTCCACGATATCGGGCGGTGGAGCTAGCGGTGGAGGAGGTGGGGCACCAGGTGAGCCGTGGGAGTTGTATGTTGCACGTGCCTTCTTCCACTGTGGTGTGACTTTCATCATGTGCTCTTCGGATAGGGGTTTTGTTGGGAGAAGACACTTTAGGTTCTTGGGTGTGAGTGAGTGTATGCGTGTATGCGTGTGCATGTGCGTGCGAAATAAGCACGTGCAAAAGTTGTCACTCCTGTGACCTTGCAGTATTTCGTCCATGCTTGCATCGCATTTGCTCAGCTATGTACTGTCTTCATCACACCAAGTATATGCCATGCGGCTGTCATGTCACACCGTTAGTGGAGCTATATCAGCACTTTTCTTACCGCGCAAAAGAAAACAGGATAAATAATAGTGGACCTTCACATGCTGCTATCACTACTGGACTCACCATGCAGAGTTGTTCTGGGAAAGACCTTTTCGAACTTCTACAAGGTGGCCTTCTTTTCTTTTTCTTTTTTTACCTGTTCTGATTAAATATGGATGTTCCTCTTGAGATCTGTTTGACAATGTTGGTGATGCGTTGCACTGGGCATCCATGGGTGACTTTTCTCCAAATCTTGTATACCAGGCAATCCACAACAATTCTACCAAAAAGTGTGATGTCCCACAGTCCACGGATCCATTGCCATGTCCGCGTGCCTTCATCGAGTTTGCTTTCTACTTCGAAGCAGCATATGTGCTTCTGCAATACAGTGAGACTCTCTTGGAACATACTATGATAAGAGTAGGTAACGCGTACATTGTCCAGAACACGGTGTGTTCATTCATACTGAAGTGTGTCAGGATGAGAAGTATCTCAGATACGAAGTACGCTTTCCTGCTGGCTATACTATAGGGCTAGGTCTGTTCAGAGTTCAGAGGTGTCATTGCTGGTGTCATTGCTGGTGTGGTTTTTGTATTGTTGGTCCAGGTGATGGAGGTATTCAATATTTCGGTATGCAACGTCGGTCCCCGTCCACTGTTAGTGTTGGTGGGTCAAGCGGAGGCATTGCCGGTTATTACGATCTTGATATGGTGAGTAGCGTGCTGGTTACTGAACGTTGGAACTTACTGGTGTGTGTGTGTGTGTGTGTGCGTGTGTGTGTGCGTGTGTGTGTGTGCACGTGTGTGTGCATGTAGGCACGAATGTGGGGGCATGTGTGAGCGATTGTGCAAGCAAGGGCGTGCATTCTTCGCGCTCCTTCGCCTTCTACTGTAGCTATAATTATGTGTGTGTGTGTGTGTGTGTATGTGTGTGTGTGTGTGCATGTGTGTGTATGCGAGTGCGCGCGTGCGTGTGCGTGTGTATGTGTGGCAATGTGAATGTGTACGTATCTGTACAGCGCGACACGGCCTCCACCCACTCCAGTACATCTCGCCGAACAGCCAACTCTAGCGTGTCCAGTTTTCCAACCATGAGCAGAGATCTGCGCAAGGAAGAAGTAAGTCCTATGGAGGTTCTGCAATCACATCATGAGTTGAGATGCATTGGCGAAATCGAGGACTCACGGCACAGCGCTGAACTTGCACTTGCAACTCACCCTGCGTACGTAGTGCCTATTAGAAAGTCCGCTGCTAAATCACTCGCATAACTACCTCTGTAGGTTATGCGAGTGATGTTGGGAACTCTCGTGGCCTGGCACGAGGGAAGCGTGGATGCGGCGAATGGGATTTTCGGTCTGACGTGATCTACTCGCCTCCCACCGCTTCAGGAGCTATTTGTGCGCCTTTCATCTTTGCAGGGTGGTGGTGTTCCCGGGGATGCGGAAAGCTCAATCTAACCGTGTCTCGAGTGAACCATGAATGTTTAATTTTTTTTGTAATTTTATATGAATGAGGTCATGTAGGCGAGTCAGTGGAACTGCATATTTTTTATTTTTTTTATTTTTTTACTATGTTCACATACCCAGCTCGAAAAGCATAATGAAAGACAGATGGTACGGAGACTAGGACAAACGTGACAAGTACTGAGCAGACGCTGCACCGAGATGCAGCAGTGATGGTGGGGCATTGATGGCTCTGCCGACCTGATGTCTCGGCATCACGGCCGAAAACACGCACCAAAAGAACAAGAGATAGAATTGTGGGGGGACAGAAACTTTTGTGCTGTGGTGGCCTCCACTGGCAATGTTCACGTGTTCAATAGCGGTGTACACGTGTGAGTGAGTGTGCGGATGTGTGCGCAACGAGTGGAGTGCAGGGTGGACAGAGAAAGCGAGGCTTAACACCAGCGAGTGTGCTGGAGAAACTGTGACACTGTTATGGGTGGTCCGTGTACAGTGTGAGTGAGGGTACAGTGTATAGGCTAACAGAATACGATTGACAGTGGCATGGCGAATGATTAGATCACAACACCAAAAAAATGAGAACAATTGTCTGTGTAAACGGTACCATTTGGTAGGGGAAAGATCCAAGAGTCCCTAATCCCCTTTTAACATCAAAATCAATTAAAAAAACGCAAAAAACGAGAGAGAAAAAAAGAAAAGAAAAAACCCAGGCAAATACAAGGGCACAGTGAGAGTGTGTTGAATATCTCAAACAATAGTGATATTGAATTTTTGGTGATGATGGCACTTACTATTGATTTTATTGGTGCAATGCTTGGCATGCATCCAATCATCTCCCTAAAATATGCACCTCAGAGAAGAGCCTCGCCACTTGAAGGGCCCAAAATGTCTAAGCACCTCTGTGTTGATTTGCGTTCGTGCGAGTGTTTGTGTGTGTGTGTGTGCGTGCGCGTGTGTGTCTGTGTGTGTGTGTGCGTGCGTGCACGTGCATGCGTGTGTATTTTTCTAGGTTTGTACAGTTTACACATCTGCTCCAAATCGTCGTCTCAATTGCGTGCTCTGCTCCAAAGTCTACAAGGATCCGGTTATCACAACTTGTGGGGTGAGTTGGCCACTGTGTTGGGTTGTATGTCAACCAATACAGTACAGGCATGCTGTGTGGCATGTGTAGCACAGCATGAGCTATAGTCAATAATTTAGCCTGTGTAATGGCCTAGCCTAGAGTTCCAACTGCCATAGAGAAGTATTGACTACTGACAGTACTACGGTGTCACTTCAATGATAGTATAAGGCACCTCAGCGGTACATACATCCTGATATGTACCCTATGAGGTACTGCATGTCCAAGGTCAGTTGACTGGAATAGGACACCCGGGCTCATCGAGATGTACTTTATAACAGGTGCGAAGAGAAAATGATGTAATATCTGTCTCTCTCTGTCTCTCCGTCTCTGTTTGTCTCTGTCTGTCTCTGTCTGTCTGTCTGTCTGTCTGTATGTATGTCTCTCTCACTCTCTCTCTCTCTCTCTCTCTCTCTCTCTCTCTCTCTCTCTCTCTCTCTCTCTCTCTCTCTCTCTCTCGCTCTGTCTCTCTCTGTGTCTGTCTCTGTCTCTCTCTCTCTCTCTCTCTCTCTCTCTCTCTCTCTCTCTCTCTCTCTCTCTCTCTCTCTCTCTCTCTCTCTCTCTCTCTCTCTCTCTCTCTCTCTCTCTCTCTCTCTCTCTCTTTCTCACTTTTCTCGGTGTGTAGCATACGTTCTGCCGTCGCTGCTGCAACAAACCCAGCGGTAAGGCATTGTTTGAATTAATGGCAGCAGAGGTGGCTTACAAGTTTGTGAAAGTTCCCTCAGACCACAATGTACTTGCACAGAATTAATGACATGAGAGAGAGTGAGAGAGAGAGAGAGAGTACATGCGCCCGTAACGTACCCTTGCTTTATGCAGACCAGCAGGTCCTGGTTGTACCCCTCGCCCCCCCCCCCCCCCCACCCCCGTCACGGGAGGGAGAGAGAGAGAGAGAGAGAGAGAGAGAGAGAGAGAGAGAGAGAGAGAGAGAGAGAGAGAGAGAGAGAGAGAGAGAGAAAGAGAGAGACAGTGAAAGAGAGAGAGAGAGAGAGAGAGAGAGAGAGAGAGAGGGAGAGAGAGAAAGAGAGAGAGGAGAGTGAGAGAGCCTGAGAGAGAGAGAGAGAGAGAGAGAGAGAGAGAGAGAGATTGAGAGAGTTTATGCAGACCAGCAGGTCCTGGTTGTACCCCCCCCCCCCCCCCGCCACGGCAAAGGCTCACACCTTGTGTTGCCCGACCACCACAAGAACTAGCTGTACTCTGACTCATGACAGTCGCTTCTTGATGCACTGCCCTAGATTAGACACATGGACAGCATTTATGAAACGCGTTGTCCCCCTTTTGTCCTACATTGTGCTGGCTGAAAGATTATCAAAATGCACAGTTCTGCTCAATGAAATCCAATCTCGTGGGTCAGCCTTGCGCCTTGCACCAGTTCATGTCCCATTGTTTACAGGTCTAGGCTGCATAAAGTGCATATCACCTGGCATTGCTGTGGTTGGCTATCACCCTTCATTTCACATTCATTATTTTATCATTGGCAGTCGTTTGACGAGCCAGGAAATGTTGAATAAATACGATACAAAATACAATGGCATTGACTCACTTCATCAGATTTCATTGAGCAACACTCTAGCATTATTGAAATCATAGACAATTGCACAAGAAAGTGTGACTGGCCGCGTGGCCCAACGGATAAGGCGCCTGACTACGAATCAGGAGATTCCAGGTTCGAATCCTGGCGTGGTCGTAATTTTTTTACACAAGAACCTTTGGGGTGGTCGTGTGTACCTTCGGATGCGGAAAGCCTGGGCTCACGCGAACCGTGAATTTTTTTTACGCAAGAACGTTTTCGATCATTCCATCAGCATTAATAGAACAGACCCATTTCAAGAAAGTGGTGTGGTTGGTCATGTGGCCCAACGGATTACATTCTTTGTGTTCATGAGAAGTGTGTTTCTGTTTGAAATCGCCCCAACAGTGAAAATCGGCGCATCTCTTCAGCAAATATTCTTTGTGCGTGGAATAACAGAAGTCAGCCAATCCAAGGTTGTGCTGAAGATAGCTTCAATGGAGTGGAAGAGACTTGATCCCAAGCGAAAAAGCCTCACATTTGACCTGGCGATACATGTATTTCCGTTCCAGAAAATGAACACTACTGCTCAAAGAAATCTGATTGAGTGGGTCAGCTTTCCACCCTGAGTCGGTTCACATCGCAGTGTTCGCAGGTCTAGGGCTGTACTGCACCTGGCCTGGCGTGGCATTGACAGCGGCGGGTTTAGGGGGGTGCGCGGGGGCGCCCCCCCCCCCCCTCAAAAGTTTCGACCTAGGTTTCGAAAAAAAAAAGGCAGGGCTGGGGGCGCGCACGCGGCCTGAAACGATCGTCCAAAAGCGGTTGCACGGTACGGTGCTCGAGCTGGTGTTGATTGTACACACTACTGACTAGTACAGAGTAGCAGTGAGCATGCACGGCTACAGAAACACGGTGACCTGGCTGTGTGTACACTGTTGTACAGTGTGATCCCTACTGGGAGCCTGGGACGTGCTCAACGCGTCTTGAGACTTCTTTCCGCAACTTTCAAGTTTGCACAACGATGTTTTGAGGTCGAGGATGATCGCCTGAGCCCTCGACATTCGAATCGTGTTTTGGTTGACTCGAAGACTTTTTTTCAATGTCTCAGCGACATCCCCAAAGGCCAAGCTCTAGCCAGCAGAGCCTGGATGGATTTTTTGCAAAGCGTTCCTGTGGCGGCGAAACTCCTGCGGCCGCACCCCCCCCCCCCCCCCCCAGCCAAACCCTGGACACGCCACTGATTGACTCTCTTGACCGAATATTTCATTGAGCAGCACTCTAGCATTATTGAGACCATAGACAATTGCAGAATAAAGTGTGACTGGCCGCGTGGCCCAACGGATAAGGCGCCTGACTACGAATCAGGAGATTCCAGGTTCGAATCCTGGCGTGGTCGTAATTTTTTATTTTTTATTTATTTTTGACACAAGAACGTTTTTGATCATGATATCAGCATTATTATACAGTAGTAGGTCTCAAAAGTATAGACCACTGGTTTCAAGGTACCACTAGGCCAGCATCTATACCGCATAAAATCTGTAATCAAATATCCGGATAGGCGAGGGAACCGGATAATCGAACACACATACTGTATGTATGCATGGCATATGCTGTAAATCGGTAACCAAGGATTTTCTTCCGGATGGCGAGGGATCCAGATAAAAAGGAGCGGATAAACGAGGTTTGACTGTATTAGCAAGCTAGTCCTGGAACACGATTGTTTCGGGTCATCTTTGTCGTGGTCGATGATGGTATCTGTTTGTCTGTGAATCTGTGCCTTACTATTCTTCAGAGCGATGCCCGATAGACAACTGTCCCGTCTCTATAGTAGTAGCAAATTTAGCGGTGAGTAGCTTGTGTATCTAACATTGTGTTATGTTGTGACTTGGGAGGCATGTTTCAGTGAAGCAATATCACGACTCTTTGTTTGGTCGTAAATTGACTGGTTTTGTAATTGTCTCTGGAATGGATCCAGTCTTTTTCTAACCACCACGACAAGGGATCCAGTCCTAAGGTTTTCGCTACCTGTTCCTGTGTTGCCACACCTGCCGACATGTCAGTAGCCTGCCGATTTTTGAGGCATGTCACGACCTGCCGACAATTGACCTTCTCCTGCCGACAACAGCCATGAAAGTGTTCAAGTTTGACCTTATGCATGGTTAGGAGTCATGATCCAGATTTTTGACTTTTACTGCGCATCACGAGTGTTTTTGTAGCTCTCTCCGGAGGCGCTAAGCGAAATCATCATCAGTCTCGGAGAAAAATCGGCAAACTCAGTCTGAGTGTCACGCAAAACCGTGAAATATTTTTTCTTATTAGTGGCGCATGTGTGTGTATCGAGGTCGCTATATAGGGGGGGGGGGGGGGGGGGGGGGTCCGGGGGCTTCGCCCCCGGATGATGCATTTTATTTTTCATGCTACTGATATTTGGCTAGAATGATGTGGCAACACTGCTGTTCCGATTCCTCTTTTGCTGCTGCTGCTGGTGCATGGTGGTGCTTTTGCTGCTGCTGCTGTGGCTGGTGGTTCTGGTGGTGGCCGTGGTTCTTTTGTTGCTGCTGCTGCTGCTGGTGACGCTGCTGCACTTGCTGCTGCTGTTACTGCTGCTGATATCGGTGCTGGTGCTGTTGGGGCTGCTGCTGCTATTGGTGCTGCTGTTGCTGCTGCTGATATTGGTGCTGCTGGTGTTGGTGCTGCTGGAGCTGGTGCTGCTGTTGCTGCTGCCACTTCTGTTACTGCTTTTCCTGTTGGGAATGGTGCTGCTGCTGCTGTTTTTTCTGTTGGTGCTCAGGTATCCGATCAAATAGCGGAACTAATGATTCACTGCAAGTATGGATGCAAGCAGGTGGAGGGTAGTCCAGAGGAGTGGAAAGTCGACCCGGAAGGCTGCCCTGTCACTATAAAACTCTCACAACGAAGGTGAGACGTAGTGTTGGGTGATTGGCGAATCCTCATGAGTTCCGCAGGCATGATCATGGATTGAAGTGTGTGTGTTTTTTTGCCTTCGCGTGTGCGTGTGTCCATGAATGTGTGTGTGTGTGTGTGTGTGTTTGTGCGTACGTTACTGCGTGCATGCATACATGCATGCATTCATGCTTGAAAGTGTGCATGGTTTCATTACTTTTAAGGTTCACCGGCTGCTGCTCATGAGTATGGGTGTATGTACAATATATGTGTATGTGTTCACACACTTGAGAGGAATCAAAAGCGTGTCTGCTGTAACTAGGCTCTGTGTATTGAGCACTGTCATGAGCAACTACAACTCTCTCCGAGTATGCCTGTGTGTATGCATGTGTGTATCCGTCTGTGTATGTGCATGTGCATAACCTTATGTGTGTTCTTTTTACACTGGATCCGTGTACAGGACACACGAGCAAACGTGTGAGTACGCTCAGGTGCGCTGTCCGAACAGTGAGAACTGTCCCGTGGTGCTGAGAAAGGTTAGTGGCCACCATAGTGCTGTTTCGTTTTTATCGTAGTTCACCCACTTTGGGTATAGGCGTTAGGAAATTAGAGGCCACATGCCACGTACTGCTCTTTTCTCTCCGAAACTCAACACTTGCAAGCCAGATATGAAAGAAAGAAAAAATCATCAGTCACACCACCGGGACTCGAACCAGGGACCTTGCTATTCGCAAGCAATGCTCTATCCAACTGAGCTGCAGTATGACTCGTATCCACAGTGATGGTAAATTTATCCTTCTTCGATCAATCAAATTGGCTATAGGTGTTGAAACAGGACCGCTGGAGGCAATTCATGTTTGGTCTGGTCATACTATAAGCTAGCAGTTTGTCATTCAATACGGTGTGACATACCCGATTGGTTGAGAGACTCACCTCCTCACCCCTGACTCACTCGTGAGGTCTGCATTCGCCATTACGGTGAAAAGGCATAGTGGTGGCCTGTGGATGCGAAGGCTATAGTTTTTGTGTGTGTGTGTTTCTGAACATGCAAGAGATGCCAAAGCGCATCCCGCGAATATTATTCTATTATTACTGTATGATATGGCATGCAAAAATGACCACCTGGACAGTGTGGATGTGTTGGTGGTCAAAACGTTGGTCTGGCAATGACCTAACCATCTGGACCGGTTAAATACAATGTTCTTTCATGTATTACCGGAAAAAAACCTCAGCACAGTATGCACATGTGTGTGAAAATGTATAAGATTTGCCCCGGGGACCCGATGCACGTGTAATTTCATTCCTTCTTCTCGACTTTATCTGCTAGGGTTCTGGTGCTGTGCTGGTCGTGCAGCAAAGAGTGCAATTTAAGTCTACAAATTTTCGGCCCATTCAAATTTCGGCCTTCCAGGGCTGGAACCCATTTCGGCCGCATCAAATGTTCGCCCTCTACTGCTACCGCCTGTATACACTGTCACACTGAGCCTTGCAAAACGAAATTTCGGCCGCAACAAATTTTCGGCCAAACATGACCGGGCGAAAATAAATATGCGCCGACGATTTGTAGACTTACAGAAGTTGTAACAGAGGGCGGCTGGCTAGAGTGTTGGGGTGAGATAGGAGGTGGCAGGACTAAATCCACAAGCCGGGACTCAGCCTCTCTGTTGTACTGTATTGGTGTAGGGGTGAGATAGGAGTTGGCAGGACTAAATCCACAAGCCGGGACTCGACCTCTCTGTTGTACTGTATTGTACTGTGCCTCTATCGTAATCATGTTTGTGCAGAATCTCGATGAGCATCTTCGAGTGTGCGAGCAGAAAGCATGTCCACACGCCAAGTACAAGTAAGTGAATTGGTGTGTGTGTGTGGGGGTGGGGTGGGGGGTGGGGAGTGCTTGCGTGCGTGTTTGTTTGCCACCGTAAACTTGCTGGTTCTGAGAGATCGCAGAAATGTAGTGACGCAAACATTGGACCGTTTACAGTAATAGTGCTGCACGTGTTGACCCATCTCAGCTGGCAAAAGGAAAATTTCCTCCTTGTATTTCGCACCATTATAAACATTTTCACTCAGCCAGGCATAATTTTCTGTGTGTTTTGTTGGCCTCCAGTTGTCCGTTCCGCGGCACTCAGGACCAGGTGCGGGAGCACTTACAAACGTGTCGCTTTGAAATGCTGAAGGACTTCCTCAGCGAGGTACACGAGAAGATCTCGCGCCTTCAGCGGCAAGTCCGGCAGAAGGATGAGGTATGGCTGGTGATGATGATGGGGGTATGGGAGGGGGGGGGGAGAGGAGGGGAGGAGGGGTCCTACACCCTAACACTGTCCACGGACCCTCCCAAATTTTGCGAATTTGAGTGTATGTATAACAAGAAATGAGGACCAAAGAGCTACAAGTCACGCTATAACATCCACTATCACCACCAGTTACTTTACAATCAGCTTATGCGATAACATTAACATTTCAGTAGTGCTGAGTGTTGAGTGTATGTGTTTGACTCTTGCTGGCAATCTCCACTTGTTTCTCTGAAAAATTCCTGAAATGCATTGCCATGCATGACAGGATTTTCCCAGTGGTGTGCCATCGCCCACCGACCTGTATCTTATCTGTATTAATCAGAGTTTCATGTGAGGTGATGATGGTTTCTTTGTGTACGTGCGCTCTCAGACAGCTGTGCAAATGGTTTCGTTTTGCTATTGCAGGAAATCACGTTCCTGCGCACTATGCTGGCAAATGTTTCGGACCGTCTGAACATGCTCGAGAAGAACTACGAGTTCAGGATGGGTAAGGATAGAGGCTATGTGACGCAGGTTATGTGATGCAATCTTTCACAATTTCTGTAATTTACATTTTTTTGTTTTGTGGGTGTATAAAGCAGTGTCCATCGGTTCTCGTTACTGTTTTCTGATGATCACTTAGTGCGTGAAACTGGGAGTGAAAACACCTTTCAACTCGGATGGTGAGCCAATTAAATTATTGTGAAAAAGGAGAAGGACAAAATGTTACGACTTATGACTATGACTATGAGTTATGAGTGTTGGAGCTGGGTGTCGGGTTGCCGACTGTCTCAGTACTCCTTGTAAGTTTTGTGCCATTTTGTCGCACTTGCTGACTGTATAAGATCTGGTTACGTTGGTGGACAGTTAGTCGTAATTCGTAACATTTTGTCCTTCTCCTTTTTCACAAAAAAACACCTTTCTTCATCCTTTTATTCGTGTTGCAGGTTATGTGATTACATTATCAGTTGTGATGCCCTGTGTGTAGTGGCAATGTGAAACTGGCCAAACAGTCTGTTTATTAACATAAGTCAATCTGCCGGCTCGTGCTGTGTGCTTAGTGACCATAAGCGAATTAGCTCCGACCCCCACCCCCAGTAGACTTTGAGTGCAATGGTATTGTGGAAATGCAGAGCTTCAATGCTACAGTAGCATGGCCCAAGAAGAGAGAGGTCTCAATCTTTATGACCTCAATGTGTGATATGTCCAGATTTTTCATAAAGAACGAAACAGCATGCTGTCCACTTATTGAGTATGCCCAGATGATAACTTTCATGTCCTGCTGGTGTTTGTTCGTGTCCCAGAGCGTCTTGACGAAGCGCAAGCCAAGCTGCAGCGTGAAGTAACCGACTATAAAAGCCACACGAACATTCTATCGGTAAGCGGCTATATTATTATTTGAAACATGATTTTGACCGTGCCTCCCTACCTGTTTCACTCTCGTGCTCTGCCTATTTGTGTCTATTTCCTGCTCTCCGTATGTCTGTCATTTTGTTCGTTGTCTGTCCGTCTGTTTGTCTTTCCATCTCTTCATATCTCTGTATGCTGGTCCCTCCGTCTGTCTGTCCATCCTTCATTTAGTCTATCCGTCTTTTCTCGTGTTGCATGTATCTGTGTTTTTGAAACACACTCATCGTAGCTGAGAGACTATGAAATCCTTTTGTTTCTTCATCGTGTGCCCTTTGTAGAATGAGGTGTCAACGATAGCTTCAAGAACTGGAATGGGTAAGGAGGACAGTGCTGTCATTAGTGCTGTGCGTGTAACTTCACGCAAGTCAAGAAGACAAAGGCCGTGTTGTGTTCGCGTCGGGTTTCACCTGTGCGTTTGAAATCGTTTTAAGAAGACAGGTAGCGTGTGGTGAACTGATTGCAGCAGGATGTGCACACAAGTGTTTGTTTGTTGTGCGTGATGCTCTTTATGCCCTGAAGTGATCTTTATACTGGATGGTGGTCGTGTTTGATTAATGGTTGTCATACTCGATGTTTGTCGTTCTTGATGCTATGCCCGCACAGCACGCGATGTACAGCCGTTCAAGTGCGTGGGCACGTTTGTCGGTCACGAAGGCCCAGTCTGGTCACTGTGCACAAGCGGTGATTTGCTGTACAGCGGCTCTTCGGACAACTCGATCAAGGTAATGCTATCTGGGTTCTGGGAACCTAGAGTGTCTTAGGTTTCGGTACCTATTTTTTTTCTAGGAAGATGTACCCTCTCTGTAGCACCCATGCCAACATAATCCAGCACATAGGACAGCATTGACTGCACTTTTAGAGGGTCTGTGGAGATTTGGTCCATTGGAGCAACCAAACTTATGGAAGATATTCAAACAGGGGGGGGCAAAGAGAGAGAGAAAGGGAGAGAGAGAGAGAGAGAGAGAGAGAGAGAGAGAGAGAGAGAGAGAAATAGACAGACAGACAGACAGAGAAATCATCACATCACTCCCGGTTTTCTTGGAGGCTTCACGCAGTGCTAACTACTAACACATCTTCACCCATTCTTTTCTCCGCTGTGTGTGTCCTTGCTCAGGTTTGGGGACCAGTTCCGACCGTATGGGATCCCAACTCATCGTACCGCTGTCAGCGTACACTGAGCGGACACACTGGCATTGTCCTGGCTCTCACTACATGGAATGACTTTCTCTACAGCGGTGGAGCCGATAATACCATTCGGGTAAGCAGGCCCGCCACCAGTTGGCCCGCCGTCATCACACACACAGGACCGGTGGAAGGAGTTTTTTGATTGGTCCGGTTATACGCTAGCCTGTCATACTGTGTGTAGGATGATGGCTGTACATGACTAAACCAGCTGTAAACGCACGTCGATGGGCAAAACGTTGGTCCGGCCGTGGCCAGACCAACCAGACCAGTTCCGCTGGGCCTGGCGTAGGGGTGTGTGAAACCCCACCCTGCTGACCCGCTTGGTTACGCCCCCCCCCCCCCCTGGTATAATTGTACTAGCGCGAACGACGGGGACCGGTCCGGCTGATGAGGTCATCACCGGAGCAACTTGTTGGCCAGCGTCAACGCATGTTTACAGCTGCGGAGGAGGAGGTTATGTGTGCCTGCTATGTCATACACAAACTGTATGAAAGGCTAGGGTATGGTCGGAAGAATCAAAAACTGCTTCTGGCGGTCCTGGGGTAAGTTACTTGCAAGCTTGGGCTTGAAACAGGACTGCTATGTGAGTAAGAACAAATCCATGTGTTCTATTTTGGAAAGAGATTGCACGTAATGATCATACGTAATGCTCATCAGCAAAAAAAGAAAAAAAATGAATAGAACTCAAATAATGTTCATCAGCTATAGAAGAGCGCATGCTCCAGAGGTTCATATCACTCAATCCTTCTAGCATTTTCTGTACTTGCGTCATATTACTCCTTGCGCATTATACTCCTGAAACTACAAGAGGTCGCATTCTTTCCCAACATCGACGTACGTAGCGTTTGGGTAGTGAGCGTTATTTTGTCCAATATGGTTCGCCGCGGTGACTCATCAGCCAGACGACGCTGCGATACTGTACGAATGTACGAAGCCAGTTGACTTACCCTTGCTTTTTTCTGTACTTGCGTCATATTACTCCTTGCACATTATACTCCTAAACCTACAAGAGTTTCCTATGCAAGTACTTTGGGACAGGGCTCTGTAGCCAGGGCAGTTAACAACTGTATCTTGTCATGCTGAGCATATGTAGAGATAGATTATTGACGTCCACCCTTATGGTTCGCTTTGTTTCGTTGTATTTTTGTGTCGCTCCACTCCTTTAGATCTGGCGGCTGGACAACTTTGCGCAGGAAGCTACATTGCATGCACACGACAACCCGGTGTGCACGCTGGCTGCATCTCGGGGCATGCTCTTCAGTGGATCACTCAAGATTATCCGGGTACGGCTGCTGGCGCTTTCCACTACTGTTGGCATGGTGTTTTTGTTTGATTTAGTTTATTTTACAGTTACCGAAAGAGCAGAGGTGCTTGATAACAACTAAGGGATGAAAGTGTGGAGAACTACAAGTGGAAAACAAGCGGACAATACTAGAAAAATGAGGAGAGAGGGGTGGGTGTGGAAGGGGGGGGGGGAGGGGAAGGAAGGGGGTGGGGAAGGGGGGGGGGTGGAAAGGGGGGGAAAGGGGTAGGAAGGGGGTGGGGAGGGTGTGGAAGGGGTTGGGGTTGGGCGTAGGTGTGGAAGGGGGAATTGGGTGGGGTGGGGAAGGGGGTGGGGGAGGGGGAAGTGTATGGGTGGGGTAGGCATTGTAGCGAACATTGAAATCCGTTGAGAAATCATACCAACCCGGGCGCTAGCCTTGCAGCCACACGCACTGATGGTCAATTTTTACAGTGCATGTGCGTGAACTACAGTGCATGTACGCGCTAAAAGCAGTAAGGGCGCTGGCCCCGGTCATCCTATCGGATTTCAATGTCCATGGCAGTAGGATGGAAGGTGGTGTGTATAAGATCTGTGACAATGTCAATGTGTTTATTACACACTGTGCTCCAGGGAGTGAGTTTGATTATGTCCGCGAATCGATATTGAATCCATTCATGTATCGCCCCTGGCTATTCACATCACCCCATGTGAATAGGGTGAATGGATTTCGAACCGGTTGCAGGGCTCAGGACATGAAATCTTTCGACGAGAATCCATTCATGAATCGATTCAATTGCGTAATCGAACGCACTCAGTGTAATGTGATGAATTTACCTAGCGAGGCTGCACCAAAGTAGTCCTCTGTTGTGCCCAACGATTGTCTGGCATATACATGTAGGTTGTGCGATGTAAAATAAAAGGACCGAGGGTTCTGACTCACCGGTAGCTTGATTGTATTTGTTAGTGTTGGACACAAACAAGGGATAATGTGTAAATTTTGTATACCCTTGGTCCTTCTTTTTCACTTTAACCCTTTATGTACCAGTCATCTGATGTATGTAAGGTGTCCCCCGCCACTTATGTCCACTCATATTTCAGGAACGATAAATGGTTTGTAGGGAAAGCGGATGTTGAAGGCTTGCAGCACAGCAATAACCAACATCTGATCTTAATTCATGTCGCAGTGACATGCATCAGAAAATGCAGACATATGCAAAAACCGCAAGAATCAAGCCTTTCTCAGGGTACAGCCAAGATATGTATACGAAAACAGACAGATATGTTGTGAAATCAGGCTTGCATGTCATACACTCATGAGATAAGGTCAGTATGATAGTCTGCGAAGCAATTTCTGTCCTTGTTCTGGCAGAAATTAGCGGGTTTGGCCTTACGATCTTTTACGCACGGAACAGGGCAAATCTTGATCTGTGTGCATTTGAAACCTTGCATACAGCACAGTTTCGCTTCTCAGCCGTCGGCACTGTGAGATGCTGCGGGGACTTCACTGCCGTCTACTGTGTTGCCGAAGGGTTGTGCAGTGGTACTGGTGTGTCTTGGTCGATTTTTCATAGTTGACGGATGACTGCAAGCCGGCACTCAAGTTGCGTCATCGGACGGTCTCTTACTTAGACTGCTTGCGTGGTCCCGGAACCAATGTTCGTGAAGAATAAAAGAACTTACGGCAGCTATCTCTACACAATCAAGAAACAAGGTTTTCCAATACTTTTTTTTGGCTTTCCTGAGGATACGAAATGAGGATACTACATAAGTTATAGTCTATAATAGAGCAATGGACAGATGAGAAAGTTGTTGTCACTCCGAGTTATGTACGAAAGCACTCATGAAGTTGTCTGATTTGTTCTTTTGATCGAAACTCGAATTTCTTGGCTATCCATCGCTTGTGTGTCATTGCTCCATATTTGATGGTGAGCGCCCTTTTCGCAGCTGTGACCTGATCTTACGCTGAACCTCTCCTCCAATGTACATAATTATGCTCTCTACACATGCTGCAGGTATGGGATACTAGCCAGCATACGATGGTGAGGGAGTTAGCTGGACAGAACCACTGGGTCCGAGCCCTGGTGGCCACCGATCGTTACCTCTACGCTGGCTCATATCAATCCATCAAGGTATGTACGAGTACGAATACGAATACGAGTACGAGCACGAGTGTGGATAAGAGTACAGGTCTACTCTCGTTAGCAGACAACCTCGGGGTTTCAACATTTGTGTCTTATATGGAGCATTATCTCCTATCCAGACGTGAATCTACCCGTTTCAGGCGTCAGGGTAGTTTTGATCATTGTCTGCTAATGAGGTTTGTCTTGTGACCGATGTCGTACTACAGTCCATTTCAAAACTATAGACGCGTACCTAGGCAAAAACCGTTATGCCAGCATCTATACCACATAAAATCTGTGATCACTTTGTGCATAGATTTTCCCAAATTGGGCGTCTGTTATCCAACCGTTTAGAAACTATATGAGAGTAATTGTGGAGCGGACCTGAGCAATATTCCGAAAACTATTCTCAAAACGTTCCAGCCAAATTTGAAATATTTCAAAAACACTGCACGTCTATAGTTTTGAAATGGACTGTAACGAGGGTGAACCTGTACAGATGTTGTACTAACGAGGGTGGACCTGTACAGATGTTGTACTAACGAGGGTGGACCTGTACAGATGTTGTACTAACGAGGGTGGACCTGTACAGATGTTGTACTAACGAGGGTAGACCTGTACAGATGTTGTACTAACGAGGGTGGACCTGTACAGATGTTGTACTAACGAGGGTGGACCTGTACAGATGTGGTACTAACGAGGGTGGACCTGTACAGATGTTGTACTAACGAGGGTGGACCTGTACAGATGTTGTACTAACGAGGGTGGACCTGTACAGATGTTGTACTAACGAGGGTGGACCTGTACAGATGTTGTACTAACGAGGGTGGACCTGTACAGATGTTGTACTAACGAGGGTGGACCTGTACAGATGTTGTACTAACGAGGGTGGACCTGTACAGATGTTGTACTAACGAGGGTGGACCTGTACAGATGTTGTACTAACGAGGGTGGACCTGTACAGATGTTGTACTAACGAGGGTGGACCTGTACAGATGTTGTACTAGCGAGGGTGGACCTGTACAGATGTTGTACTAACGAGGGTGGACCTGTACAGATGTTGTACTAACGAGGGTGGACCTGTACAGATGTTGTACTAACGAGGGTGGACCTGTACAGATGTTGTACTAACGAGGGTGGACCTGTACAGATGTTGTACTAACGAGGGTGGACCTGTACGCACAGGGCCACAGGGTATCACGTGCCTAGTCAGTTGTACCGTGGTTGTGGCCAAAGAAATCCGATCCGCGGGTCAAAAGTAGTGCCGCGTTTCCATTTCAATTACATCATGCACGTTCTCGATTATATAATGCAATCCTCATTATTACATCATGCACATTCCCCATGTATATTCCTTTTGCCTATTCTGCAGTTGCACGCGTGTATTCACCTCATTGGTAGCGATGTCAGAGTGCCGTGCCACGTGACCTCCACGCTTGTCGCTGGATTCCCTAGCAACCAGCTGAAATGATGGCACAAAAAGCCAGTACGGCAGAATGCCAGTCGCGGCCAGAGCGTGCAGTACTTGGCACGCGGGATATTCAAATGTGACCTGAAGACGTCAGTGACAAGCTTGGTCGTGACTATTGCCACGAAAATAGAAGATGAACTTTCGTATACGCGTTTGTGCGGGCGCGCTGCGCCTACGGAGCTGGGAGTATGGCCGCCGACAAGTTAGCGTATGTTCAGTCGCCTTTTTCATCTCTTGCGCTGCCTGATACAGGTTTGATTTTAGTTCCATCGTGTTCCCCGTCGTCCAATTTAGTTTGCTGCCGAGTTTCACCGGTGTATCACGCCGCGCACCAGACTTGTAGTATTTTTCGCGACAGGTACTCCATTGCTGGATACAACGCCATCATGAGTGTTCGTCCAGCAAAGGGACCAGCTGTGAAGATGTTTTGTCGAGTCTTGAACTCAAGGAGGAGCAGCTATTGCAGGATAAGCCCCT